CATACGTGTGTGTATGTGTGTGTGTTTGCATCGCAGCTCTCAGACAGGACCCTGGGACCCTCCTCGACAGTGAGAGCTTTTAGCTCTTCTTCGCTAATGTCCTGAATAATGGCATCTTGATGGAGAGAGGAGGAAGAGAGGAAGGGGGAGAAAAAGAGACAGAGAGAAAAAAGAGGGGGGGAGAGACGGAGAAAGAGACAGAGAGAAACCTCTGCATTCATGTGTCTTTACCTCCAGACCTCCATCAGTGCCAGAACCGTCATTATTCCCGCTCTCTGCCTTTCTATTTTCATTATTCCCTTTTTTTTTGTCTCCTTTTTCAGCGTGATGGAGATCCACCGAGATTTTACTCACTCTGCAGAAAAACTATGCGAGCACAGAAGGAGTCCTCGTGTGGCACGCCAGCCTTTCAGCGACGTGAACTTGCCACGGCGCTATTACCAAAGAGGGAATATGCTGTTTTAGCCAAAGACGCCACACCCCCCAAGATATAGAGCCGCTAATGTTGACTAATAATGACTCCAGTTCAGAGTTTTCTCTATTATATGACGCTTTTACATCTATACGTAATCAAGGTTTCAGTAATCCTGCATGAGCTCAACCAAACTCCATTCAAAAACTTGCGATTTTTAGCTTCAATTCAAAGTTATTCCATTAGACGTCAGATGTCAACAAACTACAGACTGAAGTCAGATATTAAAGATCCAAACACTTTTTTTACCAAACTCCCTCTAAAAACGTTGGGGTTTTTAGTAAAACGCTGAGTAATTTGATCTTATTACTGCTGCTAAACGTTCGCTCGGACTCTTTCACTATACTCCAGAGATTTAGTGTTTCTTCTCGATGCATTACTTAACCAAACTCCTCTTAGAAAGTTTTGAAAGCTTTCACCCTCCCAGACTAGTTTTGGTTTTACCAAATTCTGGTCAAAAGTTAGGGGATTTCTTTCCTCACTAACAGTCAAGATTTAACGGTTTGATTTAAAATCTAAGCTTTGACCCTCCCAAACTATTTTTGATTTCAGTATTCGTGCCTCATATCAGCTTTAAGTCTTTTTCTAGGTCGACTTTCACTCCAAATGTTTTAACTTCATGTCAACAAGCTGTTGACTTTAACTCTTTTGAACTTCAGTCAAATATTCAGAGTTTTCACTGGTTTGGAATAAAATTTTATACCCTCCCCAACTATTTTTGGTTTTACCAAATTCTGGTCAAAAGTTACCAACTTTGGTTGATATAAGAAGGGAATTTTTCTCCCCACTAACGGTCAAGATTTTTACCTGACAGTTAGATATTGAACCTCAGCCTTGACCCTCCCAAACTATTTTTGATTTCAGTACTCATGCCTTATATCAGCTTTAAGTCTTTTTCTAGGTCTACTTTCACTCCAAATGTTTTTAATTTTATGTCAACAAGCTGTTGACTTTTACTCTTTTGAACTTCAGTCAAATATTCAGAGTTTTCACTAGTTTGGAATAAAACTTTATACCCCCCCCCCCCCCCCCAACTATTTTTGGTTCGAATATTTTTGTTAGTTGTTGACTTAAATTCTTCTGCCAAACCCAAATCAAAAATATGACTTTATTATTCAGCTTTTAACTTATCCATCAACTTGAGATTTGAATATTTTTGGCGAGTTGTTGACTCAGAGTCTAAGCTTTCACCCTCCCAGACTAGTTTTTAATTCTGCAGGGTGTCAGCTCTTACTCTCTTAAGTTCTCTTTAACATGTTCGGACCGTTTTAGATTTAATTTTATTTTGGCTCTTACTTATTTTTTAAGAGGTTTTAAGTTGGTTTGATGTCGAAGCGTTGAACCTTCCCAACTATCTTAAGGTTTAAATATTTCTGCTGCAACTTCTACCAAACCCCAGTCAAAAATGTTTCGTTTTTGACAGAAGTAGCTCCTTCAGATCTGATTATTCGTACTTCCTCCTTCTTTCCCACACCTCTGAGTTTCAGCCTTTACCCTCCTTGACCACTTTTGATTTTCATCTTAGACTTAAAGAGCAAAAAGAGCCTAATTTTCACGTTTTATCTGATTTAAGAGACTTGTCTCGGCCGTTGTGGTTGCTTCTTGGTCTTCCTGCCTCAGCTTCACCGGCACTTCCTCCCCCGTTTTGTGTCAAACCCGTCACAGCTGATACTGATACCTCGACTCTAAATGAAGCCTTTGTGTAAAAGTGGTTCTTAAGAAGTGTGTTCCTGACGTCAGTGTCGGTGTAGGTGTGTGTCTCCTTCGGTTTTTGGTTGAAACAGAAAAGTGGAAGCTGGATAAGACGGTTAAAGACTCACAAGAAAATACTGGTTCCTGTTTTTTAAGGTTTTCTGCCAAATCTGAACCTGCGGCCAATGACGCACGCTCAGCGTAGACTGGTTGGCTTGTGTTGCTGTCTGGTTCACCCTTTTTTTGGTCAAATTTGGAGTTTTCTGGTTTATTTTGGAGTGTGTGTCACAAACTTCTCCAGAAAGAGCGACTGAATGCTTGAAAATGTCAGATTGAAAACGACAACGCTCCATCCTCTCCGTTTCAAAGCTGCCACAGGTGTTTGTTTCACTCTTTCCCTCTTTTTTTTTTTCTCTCTCTCTCGTGGGAGAACTGAAGCCGCTCTGTCACGCCGCAGTTTCAGCGCAGCGTGAGGTGTATTGTGCTGTTTGACCATGACGAGCGCTCCATTTGATAATCAGCTCTGTGGCTCTTTGGTGAAATCCTGAAATATGAGGAAGAAAAAAGAAAAAAAAAAAAAAGAGCGGCTGATGAGAAAGGTCCGACAGAGACTGACCGTGACTGAAAACACCGGAGAAATCCCACACTTCACTTTACTCGGTTTTATCTCGGGGTTATTCGAGTGTGTGACTCTCATTGATGCTGGCGGGGGTCAATGCCACACCAGGCGGGTAAACACTGAGAGGTCAGACAGTTAAATATTAACACTCTTATTTTGGAGTTCAAAAACAGCTTCTGCAAATATTTCAAACATCCTTCCAGAGAGGAGACTCTATTGAATAATAGATATCATCACACATTGATTGACAATTTGTGCTTTAAATGTTGCAGTTTCCCTCCTTCTCTCTGGGAACATTCTTCCACACACTTCTTCCTCTTTTGTCCTCACACTCAGGAAACTGGGGCTCATTTTCCTCCTTACACAGAATTTCATTCGACCCTCCTCTCCTGCAGGCATGACCAAAACAACTAAATGGCATCACCCAGGGCGCCTCCGCACAAATAGGTCGCAGCTTTTTTAGATAAAGTTTGCCTTGAACCGCCATGTCTGCGCGCGATAATTGGCGAAAGGATCGTTATTGAGAGAAAGCCGGGCCTTGTTCGCTTCTGCGTGTTTGGCATGGAACCCACATCTGTGTCCTGGAGGGGAATATCTGCCGGACGTTTTTTTGTTTTCATATGGAGCTCTAATAGAAGTGTAACGGCACGGCAGGGCAGCAGAGCGCTCGGAATAATTGTGTAACTTCGTGCAAATGCCGATTAGTCCCGTGCGTAATCAAGTTAAAGAGGAGGGACGCTGGAGAAGAAATTCAGCTGCAGGTTTGAGTGACCTCGTTTGAATCAAGAGAAGCACAAAGAAATGAGAGAAAAGCGTGATTTCCTCACTGAGGTGATTTAATTCAAAGCTGGAAAATTGTCTTTGGGCCACAGTGACATGAGGTGAGCGTGCATTCCTGTGCAGACTCACTTAAACCCGCTCAGTTTACAATCAATCCGCTTTGAATCGCTTCGATAAATTCGTACAAAATATGGACATTTTCCTTCTCTCAGAATCTCAGAAATAATAATCCATAAGCTTTCTTTGCTCCTTTCTTTTCTGCACAAATAAACACACGCAAACATTTATTTTCTAACTTCTTCCAACCCTCGAAAACCATCAGACTGGTTTTGCGCATCTGTTGAGCGCCGAGTGTGAATGCAAACACGCTGCAGAGGAATAATTCCTCCTCTTTTTTTCTACCTGAATCAGAGTCATTAAAGCGCCCTGATAGTGAAGGAACGTGCGCGTGTGTGCAACAATGCAACACACACTCAACACGCCTCACAATTTCAATGTAAATGCGAACTTTAAAGGGGATTTTGCGCGTTTTCTTTAAAGCAAATGCGTAAAAGTGAGGTGAGATTTCCTGCACTCCTTCTTGCTGGATTATTGCAGCAAAGGCCTCAGTGTGTCTGCTGTAAAAAAGAGGCTTCAGCGTGGATTTATCACACGCGTACTCCCGCTTTAGGACTGTTTTTGCAGCTTTTTTTTTTAATTTAAGTAAATGTGGAAGAAAAAAACGTCAAAGAGCAAAAACACTCAGTCAGTTTCAGCCTTTAGAGAGAGTTCACCTTACACTATCAGAGAAAATCTAAAGAGTTTAAATAGATCTCTCAGCTTGATTAGGAAAGATGAGGACACTTTCTGTTGTTGGCGTTTAATTGCGCATGGTTGTTTCCAAATTACGCACGCGAAATTGGACATGCACGAGGCGCACAATGAGATTGTTTTTACAGTTTTTGACAAAAGAGGAAGGATGAGAGCAGGAGAAGTTTGAGACAAGAGCGAAATAATTATAAAGACAAAGCAGATAAGGCAGAAAGAGAGAGAGAGCGAATACTGGAGGGAGGTTAAATTTGTTGTTTTGGATCAATAATTGAAGAAGTTGTAATTTTAACAGTTTTATGATTATTTACAAAGAGAAATAATTAAATTAAATGTTTTTAAAAGTGTCATTTAATAGAGTTTCTCGCAGGAATTTCAGCCAAATTCAACTCGAATTCTCCTCCGCAGGACAGGAACCCGGACTGCGTCTCTGCCCCTCCGCTCCCTCCTCTCTCCTCCCTCTCCCTCTCTGCTCTGGCCGCGCGCTGTTTTCGGAGACCTCCTTTATAAACTAAATCCAGCGTCCCCGGCTCCTCTTCCTTATTGGTCAGGTGGAGCCGTTACCTCACTCCGGGGCGCGTGACGCAGCGTCTTCACGTATCCTTCATGTGCGTCTCTCTCTTCTTCTTTCTTATTGAGAGTCTTGCCGCCGGTCGAAAAGGGAGAAACGCGGGATTCTCTCTCTGAAGCGGGCCTGCGGGGACAAGCGGACAGTGCGGACGGGGCGTGAGTGAGTGAGCGCGCTCGATCCTCAACACTTCTCATCCCGGGAGGAGAGCGGCGCACAAGAGCAGGCTCTCTCACTCGCTTTTTCTCGGAGTGTGTGTGAGTGAGTGTGTGTGTCGCTCCGCTCCGCTCCGCTCTGCTCGGCCTGTCTCTCTTTCTCTCTCACACACACACTTTCTCCACACACGCGCACACGCACGCACGCACTCTCCGCATACGTCTCCACTTCGCCGGAGTAAATTACGGCATTGATCTTAACGCCGAGTGCGGATCTGGCTCTTCTGGCTCTTCTGGCTCGCGCTTTCTTCGACGGAGCGACTTGGAGAAAAACGCCAAACAGAGAAGTAAGTAGAGACACGTTTATTACCAGTGAGCACTCGTGGGGGGTTTTTTAACAGCTGTGAGTGTGTGTTTGAGTGTGTGCGATCGTGAACTTTACTCCCACTCCAAGTCTGGAGACGGTCCATCCTCGCCGAACACCGCGAACCCGGATGCTTAGGTTGGATTTTTGAGTTTGCTGCAACTTTCTGCGCGGTAGTCTCGGGCTGTTCGGCGCGACTGAACCTGAATCCCCTCTCAAACTTTCAGAGTTGCACTATTTTCTGCTGTTTTTTACTTTTATTGCAAAGTTTCTGCTTGTTTCAGAGTCCGGTTTGCGTAAATTTACGCACCTGCCGCTTCTTCGAGGACTTTGCGCTTAAACTTCAGATTGAAAACTCTTTGAATCAGGATTTTTCTCTTTCAAAAAAGACCAAAAGTGAAATAAATCACAGCTTTAACGTCAATTTAACCTTTAAACCTGATTTTGAGTGAATCAGCAGCAGCTACAGACTCGTTTCCTCGCTCTTCATCTTCGCAAACTTCCTCCTTTTTCTCACTTTCACACCTTTGTTACTAAAAGATTTTTAAAAAGTTCATTTTTGTGAAGTTTAAAGAGAAGAGAGGGAGCCTTTGGAAATGTTAAAACTGTTGCAAACGTCTCTCCGTGTCTGGAAACGCCGTGCGTAAAAGCAGCAGCTTGTGTTTTCTGTCGTCTCTGGACAGCGGTGATCGCCTTTAAAGTAAAGATCCACTTTAGGGGGGAAGCTGTCAGTCAAAGAGAAGATAAAGAGGTGATTGTGTTCCTCTTAGAGATGCAGCAGGAGGAAGAGGAAGGTGTAAAAACTGTGGCCTCTTCATAAGAGTAAAAGTTTCCTATTTGAAAACAAGTTAGAGCTCAGTTTTGTTCAGTTTCTGAGTTTAGGTGCCAAAAAGAGGTGAAGTTGGAGCCTCAAACTGAGTTAAAGACATCCTGAGATCGATTTACGGTTAAAAAATTTAATCTCTCACCAGCAGACGCACACCTTTCATACTTAAAGCTGCAGCAAAGTGTTTGTCTTCATCTAACAAATCAAAATTTGGAGATGATGGTGAACACACTCCTGTCTCAGATCGTGGTCTTAATTCTTCACAGTCTGGTGTTTCATCTTTGCCTTACTCTAAAGTTCTTTCAGGCTGTAGATGATTTTTCTCTCTTTCTGAATCAGAGTTGAATTCTTCTTTGAAAACCCGACTGACAGTCGCTGCTAACTTCCTATTTCAGTTCTCGATTGCACTAAAATTGTTCCTGCTCTTTACACTCAAGATTAAAACCCTCAGTCTCAGTTTTGGAGCACAAACCGCACACACTCTCTCACATCTTCTTTCACTACACACTTTTTTTATTTTTATATTTTTTCAATTTTGTGTTTTTAAATTTTTTAAACTTGTCTGAGCGTCAAAGCGCCTCTCGACTCGTTCCCTGACCTCAAGCACGAATTTCAAAACCCCATCTTATCAAGCTCTCTGGACCTTGTCTCCCTCACACTCTGCCTCCCCTGTGTAAGTGTGTGTGTTTCATGTATGTGTGTGCATGTACTGTGTTTGCAAGTGTGTATCTGGGTCACTGCCGGGCGCCGTTTCTTTTTTCTCTTTACTCTTAAAACTCAATCTGACCCTTCTCCCCCAGTCCAGGAAACGGTTTCATTTAGTAATGGCTCTGCAGTCGTCGGCTTTAAGGAAAGCTTCGGTTCGAGTGTCTCTGAAAAGTCGCTCAGGCCAGTTGTTTTCTTTTTTTTTTTTTTTTTCCTAAAGTGGAATTTAAGCTCGCCATCACGGGCACGGCTCGGGCAAACTGACCTTAATTTGTGAAATATTTTCATAGACTTGACCCCGGAGTCGCTTGCAAAGCAGATGCAAACATGTAACATGGAAAACGCTGCCTCTATGCACGAGTACAAGAGCTTAAGAGCAAACAAACACCCACTTCCAGGGTCCATTTGAGCAGAAATGTGGCTCGATTTAGGCGATTCATTTTGTGGATGTGTTCCTCCTTTTTCATTGGAATGAAGAGAGCTGCCTGTTTGCATAAGATTGAAGGTATTAAAATGAGAAATTGTCATAAAAAACGTCCCTTTTTATACTTATCTATGGTGACAGATTGATGGATGTTTTGATTTTCTGTCCTTTTCTATTTAAATTGACGGCAAAATTATGAAAAAAATCTCAAACAAGAGTGGGATCTGTCAATGATCAAATGTTTCTGCGATTCCAGGACTTGTGAGTTAACACAGATGTTTGTAATTCACTTACCTGGACAGATATATAACTGGAACTTTGACAGTTCCTGCGCCGAATGTCAATTTTCGGGGGGTTTCCACAAAATCGAGCGAGGACGTTGACCTTTCTGCAGAGCTGCCACTCCAAACAAAGGTGTCCTTTTCTGCATGTGCACAAATACAGACAAGTTTTTGGGGCATGAGTGCAAACAAATATTGACTTTCAGTGTCCATTTGTGGAAAAAAAACGTTGCATGGGGGCTTCTTTTCGGTGGCTAATTCTATGGCTGTATTTGTCTTTTCATTCTGTTTATCGGACATGATTACAAAACGCACCGGTATAGGAGGACAATTTCAGACTGACACAAACTTCCCATTGATTATTTATGAAAAATGGTCGAAAAGCTTCTTATTGTTGGCGAATGTTAAGGGTGTAATTGATTTATTTCCCTTTTTTTGCTGGAAAGTGGTGGTGAAATGATGGAAAACGCCAAAACAAAAGATCTCAAACTTGTGATATGTCAAATAAAAAAAAAAACTAAATAAAAAAAGGGTAGACCAAATTTTGATTGTGGCGTGTTGATTTGGTTTTAACCTTTCCCATTGGAATTTATGTAAAATTAAGAATAAAAGCCATAATGAAGAGGTTTTACTCCCATGTTCAGAAATCTGGGGTACTCTGTATTTCCAGGTTACAGGTTTTTTTCAGTCTTTTTCTTCTACTCAACTTCAAATACCCAGCATGGGGTCGACATGCTCGCTTTCCAGTTGGCAGCAATAATCAAATTTAACTCACAAACTCCTTAAGAGTCTCAAAAGGAAGCACATATTTCTGTTAAGTAGTGTTATGATGTGCAAAAGAAAGCTGAGGCATCCTCGCTTAAAATAAACATCAGCCTTTTTTTCCCTTCAGTCTTCACTGAAATCTCTCCGGCGATTCAAGAGAGTCGTTCTCCTCCGTTACAACCCCGCTTAAGACGCAGAAATCAAGGTTAGCCCTCCAGGGGCGAAGAGGAAATGGGAAATCAGTTTGGTTATTTCAGGCAGGTGTTCACTTCACTGTGGGAATATCTCCTTGAACTATTTCAAGAGTGCGTTTTATTTTTTTTAACACAGTTTGGCTTTTGGTCAGGTTCTTCAGTGAGTTTGAATGTGACTCCAGGTGTGATCGGTTGACCTGTTTAATTAAGTTTGGCGGGTGGGTTCGAAAGTTTGGCGATGTCTGAGGCTCTTACTTTTTCTTTGAAAGCTTCATTTTAGAGCATCTTCTGTTGTCGTGTTAATTTAGGACTCAAATTTTTCACTCCCAAAAAATTAAGAGCTAAATTGATTCGACTGTTTTTAATTTCACTCATGGGCCACAAATAAATCTACGATCGATGGTTTGGCATTTCTTGGACGGACAGTAATCATAACGATAGATCCCAGGAGGACAGTGCCATTCCCCAGGTGACTAATCCGTGCTTCTCTGTGCTTTTCTCGTCCAGGTAACCCCTCTAACGCTGAATGCCTGTGAGGACCCCTCTGTCATGTCCCTTTAGCTCCCCTGCGTGATGCCTGATCATGACAGCACCACCCTCTTAACCAGACAGACCAAGCGCAGACGTGTCGACATCGGGGTGAAAAGGACCGTGGGCAGCTCGATATTCGGCCGCTCCAGGGAGACCCTGTTCGACAGCATGAACCAATCACACGGCATGGATCAGGACGGAGACTGCTCATTGGTCGGTCACGGCCACGGAGGGGCTAACGTGGACGGGGAGAAGTCCAATGTTCTGAGGAAGTTGTTGAAGAGGGCCAACTCGTACGAAGACGCCATGATGCCTTTCCCTGGCGCCACCATCATCTCGCAGCTACTGAAGAATAACATCGGGAAGAATGGAGGGAGCGACTCAGGCTTCCAGGTACAAACACAACCTGTAGTATTTGTCTCAGGTTCTGATGATCATCTAAGGGTTTCATTCCCAATTTGATTACCATTCCACTGGACTAGTCTTGCACTGGTGTGTCTCTCATCCAATCAACCAATCAAGCCACTGATTGGTCCATTAATTGGTTAATTGTTGGTTAATGTCGTCTCCTTGTCCTCCATCACAGGGGAGTGGAGCCCTGTCCAGTGGAGGCTCAGAGATCCAGGCAGAAGACGCTTGCAGTAACTCCTCTCATGACCGGGACAGCCCCTCCGACTGCCTCTCTCCTGGGCCTCCCCTTCCCCCTCCACCCTCCTCCTCCTCCTTTGGACGTCCACCACCTGCTTCAAGTCTCAACTCTCACGCCCCCTCCCAGCAGCCCCTCTCCCTCTCCACCTTCGACCTGGACAGGCTGACGGACGAGCACCTTCGCGCCAAGCGTGCCCGTGTCGAAAACATCATCCGCGGTATGAGCCACTCGCCGCTGGTCCGGTCCAACGCCGCTGACCACAGCCAAGAAAGCAACCGCGAGAACGAGAACAGCAGCAACAACAGCAGCAGCAGCAACGACCACAGAGGGGACGGCAACAGCCACAACAACGGCAGTCTCAACCACAGCCGGAGCGACGGGCCTTCTTCACTCCTGAGCTCTCCAGGGTCACGGGGCGGTGTGGTCGGTGTTGGCGAGGTTTACAGGGAGAATAAGAGGAAGCAGCGCCTGCCGCAGCAGCAGCACAGCTTCACTCAGCTGGTGTGCTCCAGGCAGGAGCAGAGACAGGAGGAGAGACGGCAGCTCAAACTGCAACTGGAGGACATGCAGGTTGGTGTTGGATGTTGAAACCGTGAATGCCAAGGTCTTCCAAAAGTTTAGTTTGACTTTTAAAAGTCAAACCAATTAAGACATATTTACCTGCTGTCCTATCGCTCGATTCTGTACTTAGGCAGAGGCAAAATCCAATGTTGCAACTGAAGTATCGTATATATACAATTTTTTTATTTGCTCATTTGAATTTGGTGCTATACAATATGTTTAAAAAACAAAAAAACACTCAGGAAAAAGTTGGTTGATGCTAAGAATAAGCTAGGGGAACATCGCCTATCTGGAATATTTTCTATAAAAGTGATGCTTTCAGGCCGTGATCTACAACTGCATTAAAATCAGACACAACTCTGTAGTGGGAATCACCGCATGAGCTCAAAATCTCATCAAACAAACACTGCATGGCTGAAACTAAATTAGGCAAAGATGAAACTGTACAGTAGCATGATCCAACCTGTCCCGGGATACCGTGACAGTGTTTTTGGGAGTCACATACAAATGCCCTGCTTTTACTTTTAATAGCACCAAATCGAAGTAAAATAACGCTTTTATTGCCATCCTTTGTTGACCAGAAACAGCTGCGCCAACTCCAGGAGAAGTTCTACCAGATCTACGACTCAGAGACCGAGGAAGATGATGACAACGGCGAGGCCGACCGAGGACGGGAACGAGAGGAGGACGGCAACTTGTCAGAGGACAGTATACGCTCTGACGGCCTGGAGGAGAGGCACCGAGACAGGGGACGGCACAGCCATGACGACCTGTCAGAGCTCGACCCGGGTCTCTTCCTGGACCGGGCCAGGGCTCTTCTAAGAGAACAGGCCCTGATTGATGGAGACCTGGAGGAAGATGTAGACGGCAGAGAAGACGAGGAGAGGAATGGGGAAAAGGTGATGAAGAGGAGAGGGGCGGGAGGACGGCAGTTAGCAGAGACGCTAAAGCAGGAGTTGAACTGTGCCGTGTCGCAGGTGGTCGACACCGTTGTCAAGGGCTTCTCCTCGCCAAAGCAGGCCGTCAATCACCATCATGGCTGCCACAGTAGCACGCCAGCTGCACCCTCCTCTTCCTCCAACTCTTCTTCTTCCTGTCCTCCACCTTTTGGTCCCCTCCCCTCGCTCACTCCAGACTCACGCTTTGGCGGTGGAGCCCTAGCCCTAAGTCTGAACGGTGACGGCAGTCCTACTCCTAACTACCACTCCTCCAACCAGAGGCTGCACTGCTTTGGTGATGTAATCGTCCCGAGCCCGCTGGACTCATTCAGTGGTTTGAGCGGCAGACTGAGCGGTGTACCTACGCCAAACGACCAAACTGAGGCGCTGCCGCTGGTGGTACGTAAGAGCAGCGGAGGTGGAGGGGAGAACACCAACCCTTCTCTTCCACCTCCCCCTCACCACCCTTCCCTCCATCCTTCTCCCCTCACTGCCTCACTCGGGTTCAGCCCTCCATCGTTTCGCCACCCATTCCCCCTTCCACTTATGGGTTACCCCTTTCAGAGCCCTCTGGGGTCACACGGAGGACATGGGTATCCACCAGGGCCCAAGGACCACCACCGATCCTCGCCTGATTCCATGGACATGACCCGGGAGACGGTCAGCCTCAGAACCAAAATGGCATCCCTCGGTGGGGGCCACCTCAGTCACCACCACCACCACCACAGGCAGAGCTCGCCGAACCAACATGGGCCAGAGGGCCTGTCCCTGTCCCTCATCAAGTCTGAGTGTGGGGACCTGCAAGACATGTCCGACATATCGCCTTACTCAGGCAGCACCGTATCCTTCAAACTGCAGCTTTGTACCTCTGTGTGAGTGAAAGTGTGTTTTCCTGAATTTGCAAACATGTAAAACCTCCCGAATGGAGGTCAATCCCGCTAAACTGGGTTTTTACGCACAGGAGAGTAGAGGATCCTTATTACACACTAATTTTGAACAACCTTTGAGGATGCAATCTTGGGTACTTAGATCTGCTTAATGCAGTATTTGAGTGGGTAATCACAGTTACAGGCATGATGGTGCACATCGCAGAGCAAAAAAAAGGAAAATAGGGCAACTTAGAGTTCGTAAATGCAGTAAATCCCTTGGCAATCAAACTTCACCTCTTGACAGCCCTCAGATTCCCCGATTTTTCTGTGCCAATATGCCAATCAGTAATTGTGACATGACACTTTGGCGCCTCATAGTACAGACAACCTGATAGACAGTTAATATGTAACAGTCTTCCAATTGAGTCTAGCTTGTATCTATCAAACTGTGCAGGCACATCTATTGGGATGGGCCTCTACTAGAAGTTTTATGGTACAGCGCAAAATAGCTGATTCGTCGTCGTCGATTGACTGCGGTTGTAGAGGAAAGTTTTGCATCAGTTTCACTGAGTAAAAAAGAACAAAACTGCATCAAATAAAGTTAATTTAAGCCACCGAGAACCAATAATAACGACTCACGAGTGGCAATGACTGACAGATCGTCACCTCAGAGATAAAAATACGTCATTGTTAATTGCAAATTGCGGATGTTCGTCCTTTTCTGTCAGTCGATGTACTTAACCTTTACTTATCAAACGAGCAACATGATTTTATTTCATTATCAAGTATTAAATCTAGTGTCTGAAGTTAAAAACTGATAGTCTGAACATCTTTTATGATCTTGTGGAAAGAGTTGAACAGTGATTTTATTTCCTCGCTCCACTAGAGTCACACTTTACATGCAGTCAAACTGCACTGAGACCACTTAGAGACGGCAGCAGCAGGCAGCCGTCAAAGAAAGTCTTTAATATCAATTAATCTGCATTAATTGGTTCCTCTTTTTTCCTCGCTGAGTGGGGAAGATGAAACGGGGCGCGATGGGTCTTGCAAGAGGGGGAAGATTAAACAGGTCGCACGCTGCTCTCCGGAGCTCTTTTAAGTCGGTGCAGCAGGTTGTGGTGTTTAAAGGCGTCGAGAAAGGCGAGTGAGCCCCACACACACAGTCTGAGACACTCTTGTGCTGTTAGGCTCGCTTTCATCACAAAGACTTTGTACATAAACGCTCAAAGCAAATCATATTTCAGTGTGTCTGTGTGCGCTGTTGTGTGGGTGTGGGGTAAGACCTTGTACATAGGAGCTCAAAGCTAATCATATTTCAAAGCGTGCGGGAGAGGCACAGGTGAATGCTTGGCTTTATTGACGAATGCTTGTCTAAATTTGTGCGTTTAAAGGGATTGCACGCATGTGTGGGCGCAAAATAAGATAACACAAAACCTAAAAAGCCCCAGAACACACAAAAAGATCTTTTTAAGAGTTGTTTTCCAGTCCTCTCCCTCCTTTTCCACCTCTTTTTTTTTCATCCCTCGGCCTTCGTTTCGCTCGCTGTTGCTCGGCAGCTTTGAGCGCGCTTCATCTCACAATGCACACACACACAAACACACATGCGCGTGCACACGGACAGGTGTTTGCAGGTAGCTGTTTATCTTTTCGTCCCTAACCCTTTATAGAAAGAGGGCTTCTCCTAAGCCTGACGCACACACACGGGCTGGGAGAACAAAGCGAAAAGAAAAATAAGACTTTGAACCCGACCAATAGGAACTCCTTGCAGCTGTGATGTGGGACGCGATCACAGTGTCATCTTCAAAGATGATTTAGATGTCGCTTTAATTAAAAAAAAAAGAAATATTTGACACGTCTCTTGATCCTGCAGAGCCGTTTCATTCCAAAATGTTTCCCCATTCATCGAAGGAAAAAACACGTCTTTGAAATCAGACATTAGTATTTCAAAGATGCTGACCAGCGTTCAATCCTCTCTTTTTTTTAGTCGTATGTTTGAAGGAACCCAAATTTGTTTGGACATTTCACTGAAACAAAAGAAATAATTCAAAAATTACTCGACTGAATGAGGAAAATATCTTTTTAATTTTGATTAAATCCATTCATCGGCTTGTTTCACTGTGTGGAGACGTAAAAACAAACACCTATAATCATGTTTGTACCCGTAATAATTATCAGGGTGGATGTTCCGAATACTTTTACACATGACGAGCGTAGTCGCCAAAAAAAGAAGCTCCTCAGATGTGAATTTTTGCTGCTTTTTTCTCCGGTTTAAATTGAATTTTTTGGCTTTAATGCTGCTGGTCGAAGAAAACTGTTTAAGCAAGTCAGTCAAACAGATTTCTCAGGTTACTGTCGGATGATTAAATCACATTTATAGGCCTTGAGCAGCTTTTTCTTTATTGGAAGTGATGGGAAACATTTAAAATGGACAAATTCATGCGCCAAAAAGTTATGATGAAAGGATACGAGCAGATGTGCAAATAACAAAGAGGATGGATAAGTGACGTACTTTCAAGCATGATGTTGAATCTTTGCTGATATCAAATATACCGATATTTTTGAAATTGATTGATACTGATTGTTTCATGATTGTAAAGACCACAAAGTTTCTCCTGTCCTAGATGTACCTGTTACTCTTATTTTGACACTCTCCTGATCTGAAACCAGCGTGCAAACTCGCTAATATCATGGCGATAATGGGCATAACCAATTTATGCTTAAACTTGACTTTATTGTACTCTAACAAAATTATTACGTGGAACACTTCAGTGGGAAAAATGCGTCATTATTTCAGAGGATGTAAATGTCACTCGACTGCCTGCAGTGTCTGCAGACGTGATCAGCATTCAGAATTATTTTAAAACGCTGTTAATTTCTAGACCAAAAAAACAGACAAAATTATTTGCCCTTTTTTTACTTTTTAAGTGACAATCGCAGCAGGACAATCAGACAATTTGGATGTTTATTGATAAATGTTATCTTTTGGAGATCATTTAAGCTGAGATTTCTAATTCTTATCGAAGGCAAGGCGTCTAATTGACAGTGTGTTAAAAGTCAAAGCTTCACTTTTTGGGTTTAGTGGCTCTAAAATGCACATTCTGTTCATTTCTCAGGATTGAATTTAAAATAATAAGATAATGGATGTTTTTAAATGACGAAAATGCCTTTAATGTTCACAAAACTTCCTTAAACAGTCAGAAAATGACAGAAAACGTGTGGCGCAGCAGGTTGATCTGAGGTTTTGAAAAAGCCCGGCGGTCAGGTTGAAGTGTTTACATCCATCACACACACAGAACAATCACACAAACACACAAACACACACACACACACTCTCTTTCTGTCCGTCCGTCTGTGTGTGTGTGTGTGTGTGTGTGTTTCAGGTCTGTGTATCTCTAATCCTTTGTACAGAGCTGAGCAGATGTCCCTCATTCATTTATGAATTTACCCCCCCAGCCCCACCTCCCCATTCACACACACACACACACACCTGGCAGCAAGGTCAAGTTACAGCTGATACACTGAGTCCTGCACACACACACACACACACACACACACACACACACACACACACACACACACACACACACGTCTGTTTTTCCTCTTTATATCAGCCTCACACTCTTATCTCTGAGTCATGTTTGGGAGCTTTTGTGTGTTTGTGCGCTCCGGTTTGTGTACATGTGAGTCAGTAAAGTACAAGACAGGCTGAACACAGTGTATTAACCTGTGCTGCTTACACACACACACACACACACACACACACACAGTGACAGGTTGGTATGAATGTTAACTAGCTGACGGTGTTGTTGTTTGCTGACCTGATGTATCTGCTGCTGAATGAATGATGGACGACTTCGCCTCCTGACCGCCTTAACATGTTTATTATCTAATAAAACTTTTGAATATTTTATAATTATTTTAGAACAGTTTCGTTGTAGAAAACATAAACCGGCCAAAGTCAAATCCTGCTTTTAGTCCACCACAACTGTTCCCAGATGTAATCCTGACAACGTTAACTACTTTCAGCTATTTTTTTGTGCCTTTTCTTGTAGATGTTCTCTACCTTAAGTACCAGTGTAAAGGTGCAAAAAAAAAGGGTTCTGATTTTAAGTTATTGTACACAATCTGTTGGTAGTATCATTGTTTAAAGAATAGCCAACAGGCGCGTACAACAAAAGCAACTTGAAGTTTTCACAGTTGATATTTTCTACCATAATGACCATAGTAAAAGCGCAAAGACAAATTTGGATTTCCTTTCCCAACATTGTCCAAACACCTTAAATTAAATGCAAGAGGAAACGTGTTCAGTTCTTACACTTTCACAAATATCACTGATCATGTTGACATAAAACCTACTGAGTAAGCTCGACTAAAACTGGCCAACGCTTTTGAAGGTTAAGGTTCTCAGCTGAAATTATTGGTGGAAAACAAATAAATTAACAAATGAATAAAGAAAGAAAAGAAAAGACAAGAAGAAAAGGAACTAGTTTTCATTTTAAAAAAGCCACTGAAAACCTTCACTCATATGTAACTGAGACATCAGTCCAAGCCAGACTTAATAAAGGTTCTCTACCGTAATTACCAGTGTAAACACGCTAAGATAAAATTGGTTTTCTCTTTTTTTAATATTGCCCAAAACTGACTTAGATACCACGGTAAGGAAAAAGAGAATAACTTCTATCAAGCCCAACCAAAACCAACATATATTTTCCAATGTAGAGGTTCTCTACCGTAACTACGAGTGTAAACGCGCAAAGATAAAATCCTACAATCCGTTTCTTTTTTTTTTTTTTACATTGTCCAAAATTTCATAGTGTAAAAGAAAAAGTGAGAAATCGATCAAGCCTAACCAAAACCAACAGATACTTACCAATGTAGAGGTTCTCTACCGTAATCACCAGTGTAGACACGCAAAGATAAAATCGGTTTCTTTTTTTTAACATTGTCCAAAATTTCATAGATAACAATGTAAAAGAAAAAGAGAATAATTTCGATCAAGCCTAACCAAAACCAATGCATGTTTTCCAATGTGGAGGTTCTCTACCGTAACTACAAGTGGAAAGGTGCAACAAAAATTTGTTTTGTACTTCTGTATATCGATTTATTGATCTGATCCAACTGAAATCAAGTTTTCTATTTCTAACCTGGATGAAAATGGTCAAAAAAATCTGGATATTATTCAAACTCCTCACTCCATCTATCCCTCTCTCTCTCTCTCCTCATCCTTTCTCTGTTTCCCGGTTACCGATGCTCCTCTCTGCCTCTCTCCAGCCACATCAGGCCCCTGGGGTTTCTGTGCGAGTGTGTGTGTGTGTTTGTCTGTGCGCTAATTGACCTTGCAGGGGGTTCCATTGATTGCCTCATCTTCTCTGATAGATTATGGGGCTGTTAATGTGGTGGGGAAATGGCAGCGTGGTGGGGCACAGCTGTTGTCACACACACTCGCCCTGCGTCCCCGTGACCAGGGCCTCCTCCGCAATTATTATTTTGCTTGTTGAGACGCCGGGATGTGCACAGAGGCTGCAGAGATGCTGGAATGAGAGTGGGATTTGATCCAAAGCCAGCAGGTGTTCGTGTCTGGATGTAAAATGGCACGCTTTCAGGAGAATACATCCTCAATTTTCTGTTCAGTTTAATGGCGCCGCCGTCATTCTCACAAACCGAATAGGAGTTCAGTTTAAATAGAGAAAAGCTCCTTTTATGTGTGATCACGAAAAACTCAACAAAAACAAAAACCTTCACATGTGGTACAGATCGAAAAGCACTCAACACTGTTTTTTAGGCTGGCTCCCCACCTAGCACTCCTAAACGCAGCTTTCTTGAAGCCTTTTCCGCTGTTGCCATGCTAGAAAATTCTGTTTCTCTATGTAAACTATAAAATAAAGCCAAGTCCTACACCAGGGAGTCCAGCTTTCGAAGGATGCAGTGAGATGGTCGACCCTACGTCAGATTGTCGGCTCATATCACCAGTCTTTCGCCTCCTGATGCTAGCATTGCATTGCGCCGCTCTTAAAGATCGCTGTAGCGGCTAAGTCTACAACTTAAAACCACTGAGGGGCGGCCTAGACAGGCTAAAAGTAACTGATGCGCTGGCTACCGCACTTAATTATTGTGAGCTGTGGAAAAATTACTCCGGATTGCCTTTTCCTTCGCTGCGTTCTTTACTGCTCACCATTTGACTTGTTTTCCATTGACTGTATCACCAAAAACAACATCCAAAGTGACATAGCCAGTAGCGGTTGAAAAGCTTTGTGCTCCTCCGTCTAGTGACACCTGACAGAAGGTTCCTACAAATACACACCCAACACCACAAGGACACCTGCTGGCCCAATTAGGCGATATACACAATTCACTTAGAAAAATGGCTTCTACACTCGCTACTGTGCTAACTAGCCAGATTTAACTTAAAAACCACAGTCAACATTTCAGAGGTAGTTTCGTATTTTCCAACATTTGCACAACTTGCTATCTAATTTGCATTGGTACGCAAAGAGGATACACCAAATGTAGCTTGCTCCGCCCAGTAAAAGTTGGGGGGCTTTTTTGGAAATGGGACCACCTTCTCCGCGCTACTGTGACGCATCCTGTCTTCAAAAACAGCCTTCAAAGGCTAGGACACAGCTAACAGGGTTTTAAGTACGTTGGGTCCCAGTTCGGACACAGAAAATTCAAAAGGGATTAAAAATCCCCAGCAACAAAGATCAGGACAAAATAGTTATGCTGCGTTCGAGTTACCTCAGAAGTCAGAAGTCAGAGCTGAAAATGACGTTGCACACGAATTACAAGCGTTTCAGTTACCAAGTTACCAAGCTCCTCACTGCTTAAGTTCTCTGCTGGTTCCTTGACGTGTTTCGATTCAGATTCAGGAGGGCTTGTCTCCGAACCACCTGAAGAAAGCCAAGCTGATGTTCTTCTACACCCGCTACCCTTCCTCCAACATGCTCAAAATGTTCTTCTCCGACGTCAAGGTAAGAGTTCGCCATGTTTTTGTATTTACTGCCTTTTTTGGTTTCTCTCTACCACTTATTGAGTTTCTGCTCATTTCTTTGTCTTAGTCCCTCATAGGCCTGTCGCGATAATCAATAAATCGCCTTATCGCTCGGTAAATAAAAACGAGGTCGGTCATTTTGCCAGCCTCGATAATTGACGTGCGTTTGTTTTCCTCATCTCTCGCTACCAAACACGCTGGATGAGAGAAGAGGTCTCACTCTGCGCATTGTTCTCGGCACCTGGGGGCGTTGGCTCTATAGCGGAATGAACGGAGTTAGTGAACCCTCCTGTCAGTTATTCAGTGTCTTTGTCACGAGGGGGCTGGCGCGCACAGGCACACAGACACAGACTTTTTGGATACAGTGCTGCAAGTGAGCGTCGTGAGTGAAAAGCAAGCAAACAGAATGAACACGACAGCTTTGGTGTCTAAACCGAACGCAACAGCCCAAGTGTGGTAATATTTCGGCTTTAAACCAGTTTTGTTTTCGTCAACCACAAAACTCGCGCGTGTGCGTGTCTGTGTGTTGGAGGAGCACAGCAGGATGATGAGAGCTGTCAGAGCGGACTGAAGCTGCTCCTATATGTTTAGCGTTTAACTGACTGAGTTTTGCAACTCTGTTTGTCATTTTCGTCTCGTCCCATCAACGTAAACGCACTTTCGTCTCGTCACATTTTAGTCATCTCCGACTTATGTTTAGCTCGTCAACGTTACGTCTTCGTCGTGGAAGAAAGGGAAATATTTTAGTCAACGAAAACAACCAGTGTTGTTCTCGTTGACGAAAATATTTCCCTTTTTTGACGCTGGCGTTGACGAAAATATTTGACGAAATATGACGAAAACAACACTGCTTTAAACCAAATGAAAGAGGTGAGCCCACAAATACAGACGAGCCGATATGTCGTATTTGTTCCAAAGTTGTGGTGACAAAGAAGGGGAATATGACCAACATGCATGTGCACCTCAAGCACAATCATCCCCTCCATTTTTCTCAACTGAGCAAAAAAAGTACCGCCGGAGGTGCTGCGGAGCCATCGTCCCGACAGGTACCGCTTACTGAAGCGTTTGGTAAGCAAAGCAAATATAAACAAAACAGCGCAAAATGGTGCGCGCTGACAGACAGTGGAAATTAAAGTTTATCACTTTTGACACGGTGTACTCACATTATTATGCCATATAATATCATTATCTATAATTTAAAAAACGGTGTCAATAATATCGTTTATCGGCAATAATTTGTAGCACAATTATCGTCCAGCAAAATTTGTTATCGTGACAGGCCTAGTCCCTCATCCTTGCCTTCTTGTTCAGAGAAAAAACATCTATTTCCTTAGAGATTGTAGGAGGTGAAGTTTTGTGTCAGGGTTCAAATTTCTGAAAGATAAACTTCACCCTTGTGGTAAAATGCAGTCGGTTGCATAATTTACTGAAAAGCGGCAAATGAATGAAAATCTTGCGGCGCCAAAGAAAAAGAGAAGAAAAGGGAGAGGTGGCCTCCGCCAGCTCAAGTTCACAAGTCGCTCCTCGTTATAGAAAATGACGGAAAATAAGAGGTTAGATTTTTGTTTGGTGAGAATAACCGAACCCCCGCCAGATAAAATGCACAATGAATGCGTAAGGAAATTGAAGACGGCATGAAAAGGTGACTCATAACCTGAGAAACAGATGAGAGGGATGAGAAGTGTCGCTGTCATCGTGAGGCCAAGGTTGGAGATAGAAAAACTCTCCAGGATCAGATCAGGAAAATTAAAAATCATCTGATTTTTGTCGGCAGTTTCTCCAAAGTCTCAACATTAAAATATTGTGATTTTGCTGCATTTTATCCTCTGATATTATTTAATTTACCGTTTTTCTGTGTTGTTCAGTTACTCTGTATACATGAGTGTGTGTGTGGCACAGATGGGTGCTCCAGTCTGTCACGTCTTTGGAGCATAATTAGAGTTTCTGGCCTTAATCGGCCCAGGGGGTGAAGGGAGGGGTGTCCACGCCCACTTTCCCTCTTACACACATACTGTGACACACACACACACACACACACACACACACACACACACACACACACACACACACACACACACACACACATGAAACAGCCTTTTCACTCTCACTCTCACAATATAAAACATGACTGTTTATTTCAGTTTAGAAAAAAGCAAAAATCTGAATATTAGCTGTAAATTAACAGGTAACAAAAAAAAAAAAACAGGTTAAAAAATTTTAAATATTGAGTAAAGAAAGAAATACACAGAGATAGAAAGTGAATGGTGCATCAATTTATAAGAGAATAATTTTTTATAAATTCAAAATCAGTTATAATTGCTCATATGGAGGGTGAAATGATCAGTTTTCTCACTGTTGTCGCGATGCAAGCTAGCTACAAAATAGTGCCGCCAATCTAAAGGTGACAACGCTTTTTCCGATTTGCAAAAAAAGTTACAAAAGTCTCAATTAATTAGAGCAAATATTAAAAGTGACTTTACAATTTTTTTTCTGTAGGAATTCATACATTTAAAAAGGAGGGCTGGCGATACAAAGTGTTCACACTATTTCTGCGCTGGATAGTTACAGCTAGCTTTTAGTTTCCGCTACTGCAAACGTCGGGATCTATCTCAAAATACAAAAAAACAAAAACAAAAACAAATAAATGAATAAAAATTTTTGTACATTTATATGGACGTTTGGGTTTAACTATTGTGCTTTCACGCCAACTTCGTATCCAAATGCCAAAGCTAGCTCTGAAATATTCTTCGTCTGAAAAAAGGCAACGCTTTCTTACCGATGTTTGAGATGAGGCTCAGGCACCATGACCATTTACATGCTAATTTCAGAATAATTTCACGCCAGTTTGAAAACAAAAATTTGGCAAATATTCAGTTACAATGCCATGAATTAAGACAAATTGAGTAATGACTTTAGATAACTTGCAATACTAACATTGTAAAACTAAATGTATTATAACTTGAAATGGTTTTTTTTATGTAATTGCACAATTATTTCTCACTGAGCATTTAAACGAACTTTTTTTTTTCACGCCCTTTTTCAACATTTCTCGCCATATCAGTTTAATGACATTTTCTACGCCAGATACAGCTAATTTTGAGTGTTGAATTTGTCCAGATTTTAAGGTGAAATAAGATTTAGGATTGTTTGTAATCCATACATCATTAAATGTGTGATTTATAATGAGAAATTTGAGAATGTTTCATGTAAGTATGCAGTGAGTAAGAATTTACTTAGGCCTTAGCTAGCTTTCGCTCAGGTTTGAGTTAACTGATGCTAATTTATTTAGTGGGAATAAGGAATAAATTATTTTTGTATGTTTTCATTTTAACTCAGGAGGTGGATTTTGCAAACACAGGCATAATATTAACTGTAAAATGACCAAAAAGAGACCGGTCTCGGCTCTTTGTCACCTTTTCTTTCTCCAAAATACTTATTATTCCAACAAACAACCAAACTGAAAGTCGTCTGTTCAGGCTTTATAACATAGCAGGAAAAATTCATGATGAGACGAGGCTGAAATGATGGAAAGTACGTGTGTGTCGTGTGAAAGGGGGGAGTTTGAGAAAATGACAGGAGGGGGGCAAACAAATGAAAGAGAAGACAACAGAACAACAGCTTAAAAACAAAGGCGCTGATTGTTTTGTGTTTACAGGCGAAAGGAGCATACGGCTCCTCTACGGATTCAGGACGCTCTATTCAAATGAGCACACACACCAACACACACACTAACACACACACACACACCAGCTGCCCTTTGGCTCGTATTTGTGGTGACCACTTCCTCGTGGTAGCGCCACATCCTAACCGGCTGCCATGGCAACAAGGGTCGTTGGGACACGGGGTTGCTAGGCAAACACAAGGTGGATAAGCTCACCTGCTCCCAGTATGAGTGAGTGTGAGAGTGATTAGTCCATTCAATCAACAAATAGCCATCATAACACAACAGTTACACCTGTTTTTCAGGAACACCGAGACGAGACGAACAACTTTCAAACTCAGATTAAGTTTATTCGATAATGTCTGAGATTTAAAATCATGAAAAAGAAATGTCGGCAGTTATTTATAATCTAGTATTTTTGGCTTTCCTGAGAATTTCTAGCCAAATGAGGCGGAAATATCTCAGAAGTTCTGAATATTTCACATAATAGTGATGAGCCACTGGAGGAAATTGCTGTGAAATCAGACATGGTTGTACCAAGGTCACTAAAAATTTAGAGATTTTTAAGGCTGTAGCTTTAGAGAATAAAAATCATGACCAGGTGGCTCATCATAATCTGGGTAAATGTGGGTGGAGCTCTGGTTTATGAACTAATTACGGCATGAGGGGATTAATTTGGCAAAACCACCGTTCTCACAAAATGAGTGGATTTTTAAAGTGCGTTAGTTTGTTGTACTCCAGCGAAAGAAATCAATTTTTTTAACCCTTATGTGGTCATAAATGTAATTTTTCACTCTGGTCAATCAAAATTGAAGAAGGGGGCGGGACTTCTGGCACCAAATTTGTCAACAAACTCTTCATTAAGTGGTAGAAAACCTTGGAGTATGGCTGCTAACATATCCATTTTCCTTTCCATCATCAAAAAAGTTCCTCACACAGCAGATATTCTGGACAGTCTAACCCGTAACTATTGCTGCGTTTGAGTTACCTCAGCAGTCAGATGTCCGAGCTGAAAATGGCATCACACCCAAGTTCCCAGCGTTTTAGTTACCAAGTCGGAAAAAAGCGAATTCGGTGGCCTGAAACAAGATGGCGACGTCTACGAAAGTTATTTTAGCGATTGCCTAATATTTGGACAAGACAAGCACTAAAATAACTTTTTTTCTTGTTTACGCCTCCGATTTTGCTTGTTTCAGACTTGGTAACTAAAACACTGGGAACTCAGGTGTAACATTATTTTCAGCTCCAACATCTGACTTCCGAGGTAACTTGAACGCATCATATCTATCAAAGTAGAAGTACTAGGGGACAGTTTTTGTAACCTAGCTACAATGAGCGGCACTGAAAAGCGCACAATAATGCTGTAAGTAGACACAGGCCCTAAAACACAGCTAATTCTCGACACGTTACAGCTTTCTACGATACTTCTCGCATTCAGCTTCAAACACATCATTTTAAAACTCAAGGAGCTGAATTTAAAGCAGTACCTCACAAACCAGCACAGGTTGGAAACAGACCGGGACAGTTTTATAACCTAGCTACAATAAGCGGCACTCAAAAGCACAAAATAATGCTGTAAGTGGACATAGGCCCTTAAGAATTATACATTCATTGCTTTTGGCGATAATACGCGGATAATTCTCGACATGTTGCAGCTTTTCTATAGTATTTCATGCATTCAGCTTCTAGCACTTCACTTGTAAATTTAAGGAACCGGATTTAAAGCAGTACCTCATGAATCAGAAAAGGTTTGAAACAGACCGGGACTATTTTTAGCGGCGTAAGAATCCAAATTTGTTGCTTTCGTGTAAATTTATGGCGGTATACGAGATGGGATTGACTGAAAATACAGTGCGAGTGTTCATTGTAATGACCCAACATGTCACGCTGTGCAACAGTGTGACTCATTGATGTGTTTTTAATAGTTGGTGGACAACAATGGAGCTCTATGGCACAGGGGGGACCAAGACACATCAGCAGACAGTACTCGTAGGAGAAACTCTTTGTTGGTTTGTCGTCGGTTTTATTGTATTGTTTAAGAAATTGATGGTTCCTTAATATTCAGATTATATGCAAATAAAGGTCTATAGTCACGTTTATTTTTAATTGAGTCGTAATCCCAGTTAATCCGGCGTATTTTTTACGTGGGAGGACCTCCGCGGATATTGCTTCACTTAATAAAAAAAATGAATCATGGGTAATCCTGTTTGTGATGAGCGAGGCTGTTCTTTTCAAGGCTTCAAGGGGGAGACCGAGTGGGAGACAGCGCCCTGTTGCTGTCTGCCTATGTCCTGTTTCATTGTCCCGTCGCATTCATTACCCTCATTATTACCATATTTCCAAAATCCGGGTCAATGTCTCCGTCTCTTTTTCTTTCTCACCCTCTCTCTTACTCCCCCTGCCTCCCTCCCTCCTTCCACGGGGAACAATAAGTAGCATGTGTTAGGAGGATCAGGCAGATTCACTGTAAGGGAATTAGGGCCCTGAATGGCTCCCCTAATTGGACTTGAATGGACTTTGTCTCTGGGAAACTGGTTCTTAAAGATGAGCCTCTTACGCACAATGGCCGCCTCGCTCCGTGTGGGAAGTGGGTTGAACCGACGACTGTTTTAGGCACACATGGGCAAGCACACACACACACACACGAACACACAGGGGGATCTTAATTATGTAGTGAAAGCTCTTGCCTTCTGACCAGACAATCATATATGTTAGCATGAGACGCCGAGGTGGCTGCCGTCTCGTCTTGAGAGAGTCAGTGAGAGTAATTAAGACCTTGTTAAGACCCGAGGAGTTAGGATTAATTAGACGCTCGCCGGCTCGCACACTCTCACTCGCTAGTCTCCTGCCGGCTTACACACTCGCACGCACACACTCAGGAGGAGAGGTAGCAGCGGCGGATTTATAATCAGAGCCCAGAAGACTCTCGCCTTGAGAGGCTGAGGTGATATCTGGTGCTGCCTCCTCAGCAGGCATCAATTAGTCCGACCAGCCTCTCAGCCGTCCCATCAATTAGAGCGACACCGCCAATTTGGGAACGACGAGGCAAGAAGAGGGGACGCAACGATTTATGAAGTGACTTCTACAACCTGGCTTTAAATGTCCCGAATTCCTCACAGAAGTTCAACGTCTCTAAAAGCTGAATTTGATGGTTTTAGAAATTGTTTCTTGACTTTTCTGCTAAGTACAGCTTTAATTGATAAATAACAAAAAAACCCTCAATGAGATTTGAACTTTTTGCAGTTCACTGGCTCTAATGTATCCCCCCCATACCACCGGGGAACAAGTCAAATGGTCCTTCTGTTCTTAATGGCTGAGGATGTGGCGTCCATGATCTCAAAAAGCAACTTCAAAGTTCATCTCGGGTCCCCAAAGTTTCCGGGTTTTGTACAGTTTGAACCCGGTGACTTCCACTACAGAGTCATGTCTGTCTTTAAGGCAGGACATGACCATTTAGGATTGCTTTTCAGCCTTGCTATTTTTTAAGAGATTTCTCCACGTTCTCTTATTTCTCAAAGACAAAGAACACAGAACGGTGGACGGGTTCTCATCTTGACTTCTAACCCAAAACTTCCACCACATCCGGAACGGCTCCGATCTGGAACTGTGGCGATATTCGCCGTCCGCCAATGCCTACCAAATCCGTTTGTGAGGCAAATTTCGTGGCAGATTACGGACAGCGGAAATCGCGCAATAACGAGTTGTCTCTATGAAGACAGTCACATGACCATATAAGCAGTAGATTGTGTCCTTCCAGAGGAGGAAATCCACTTCTAGACTTCTAGAATCAGCATCTCCTCATCCATGGTGTCATCGGGGTAAAATGCTGTCTAAAATTCCGTTGACTCGTTAGTCACCGCCCGTTTGCACGGTGCGAAATACGATCCGCCTGAAACACGGAGCTGGATGTCTTTTATTTTGTGTCGGTGCCCTAACTTCCTTACTAGCGCGGGTTCTGCGGCATGCTCCAGTGTCGGGAACTCTTGTGATCGGCTGAGAAGTCTGCCAATCCGCAGCGGAACGGAAAGAAGCTGGTGGAGATTGACACAATAACTTGATCGGCGGATACGGCCTTTTCGTAGCCATTCCGGATGCGGTGGAAACTGGGGTTAGACACCTCCGCCTCACTAAAACGCCCTTTTTATACCCGATTGTGTTATTAACCTGCTGCAAACACAGATAATTAGTTGGGAGTTGTTTCAATGAAACTTCAGGTTCCCAACTTTCTTTCCTGATAAACGGAACATTAAAACCACTTCAGTGCCAGCCGGACATAAACGCTCCTAAACCATCATTTGAAAAAGTTCTGACAGCAGCTTTTCTTACAGGAAACCTCCGGCGTTGCGTCCCCTTCATTTATGTCGATGGTGCACATTCGCGCCGTCCTCTCTGAAATGTGCCGAGCCACGTCGAATCTGCTTGAAGTGGGCAGATTCTTAAAGGATGTGTGTGTTTGCCCTTCCAACGTGGCCTGGGGGTGCTGACAACGGAGGCCATCAAGGGGAAGGAGGGAGGGATGGAGGGATGGAGGGGAGGGGGAGGCACCCTGACACTTTCTCTGACACTCTCTCTTTCCCCCCTTTTGGCTGTAAACGGAAAATGGCATTCCTCAAGCTCAGCACTTTGCCCCCCCCTCTATTCTCTTTCTGTCTTTTGTCTCTCGCCTCTCTACATTTTTTTTTTTTGGTTTGTGCTGATTGTGACGAGCTGGACGGGACGGAGGGAGGGTGAGAGGGCAGGTGGTGTGATAGCTGGAAGCATGCATGTGTGTTTCATCCTGGCTGTCCTACCAGACTGAGAAACTTTGTTAGAAGTTTGAGGATCTAGAAACGGAGACATTAACGCAGACGAGCACTTTGCATTAAACGCCACATAGACAAATATGGCTGCAGCTTGAGCAGTCCGATTCATGCAAATAAGGCCAAACCAATGCCTTATTTGCATCGGAGGCTAACATTATCAAACTCTACTTTTCTGATATCATAATATTGTAATAACGTGTATTTGCGGGGCGACAACCTTCCATTTCCGTCCGGCGTTTTTCATGTCACCGTGTGTGTGTGTCTGTGCGTCTTAATTGCTGAGTGATCATGTTCGTTTCGTGCAACACTTTTGTGGGTCAAAACACCCCCCACTTAACACACACAAACACACACACACTTCCCCCTCCTGTCCCTGCACTCTCTAAAACCCTTTTCCTTCTGTTGCGAACACACTCACACTCACACACATTCCCAATTATGCTCCATTATGTCACCCCCTCTGACAGCTCCTGAAAAAATATCTCTTTCCTCTCCGTCCTCCTCTGCTCGTCTCTCTCTCTCTCTCTCTGCATTCCTTTTTTCATTCCACCTCTCCATTCATCTCTCTCTCTCTCTCGCTCGGCCCTTGTTCCTGTGAGACAATGTCTTGCAACAATACAGAGCTTAATCTCCGTATCAAAGCCGTTTTTCCACTCCGCTGAACACACACACACACATAAATACACGCACATGTATGCACTTTCACTGCGCTGTCATGTGTTTTTCTGCATGTTTTGATCCAGATATCTAAGAATGTAAAACAAAACAATGAAAGGAAATAGAGCAGTGTCGTAAAATTGTATTTCTTTTGTTTTGACATTTTAAAGCTCCAGTAAGGAATTTTTTTTTACATTTTAAAGCTCCTGTAAAGAGATTTTTGGACATCTATGAAACAGACTGAAATTAATTTTGATGGTTTTTTATGATATAAAAATGCAAACATGACCATTGATAACAAGACTTAAAATGTAATGTTATTTTTCTAAATCTGAAATTCATGCGACGGGGGTAGGTGTCAGCTACAAAGCTAAAACAGCTGGCAAAATATTAACAAAAAATAATGAGTCGGATTTTTTCAAGAAATACTAATAAAGCATGAAAAGCACACGATTAGATAAAACTAATTTGTCCACAGGTGGCGCCAAAATTGACATGGGAGCTTTAAAGGCCTGAGTAAAAAATCACAGTGGCAGAGTGACAGTGTAAAAAGTATTTTTTCTTTTTCTTTCAACTACTCAATTTGACAATATCATGTCACACTGCAACATTTCTTATCCATTGGTTGGAAGGGAGCAGGGAGAAGAAACATCTTATATTACCGGTCCCTCACTTAAAGTCGAATTGTCCTGATAAACAAACAGAACAGAGTTTCAAATTGACTTATCGGTCACTGAGTAATACTGTAGTCATACCATGAAGTAAACAAAACAAGCATAATAATAGTAAATATAAATAAAAGACAGCATTTTTGTACAGGTCTCCAATTCATTACTTTGACAGTTCCATAGTTTAACTCCCACTACAGAGATACACATCTGCCTCAGATTTGACCTTACTCGTTTCTTTTGCTGGTTAAAAGTATAAAGAAGTTGTTTTGTGTTCTGTTTATGACTATTTTGGCACCTACCCTGCGGCAGCATCAGAAACATATCCACTTAGAAGTTATCAATCTTGTTGCAAATGGGCTCGTTCGCTTTAGAGAGGCAAGAGTGTGAATTTGAGACTCTATAAAAACTCCTCACAGGAGCTTTAATGTGCCCAAGAACTCGACGGGTTTATCATTTACACGAGGCTACGGCTAAAAGTTTAATATTGAATAATGTATGAGGCATGGACCATCGAAGAAATATTTGTGTATTCATAATTAGTCGTTGAGCCGTGCTCTGGGTAAGCGCTCTGACTGAGGTAAGGTCTGAGTAAAATGACATATCACCATGCAAATAAGCGACAAAGCAAACGCATGGCTGCATTTTAATAAAGCTGCTGAACTAATAAAGAGGAAATATCCAGATTTAAATCGACTATATATCAGTGAAAAGCTGCTTCATGAACCACATCTATTTCTGACTGTTTCAGAGGTTAAAATGTTGTGAATACGGTGCTTTAAGTTGGACTAAATTCCTTTTTTTATTCGCCACAGTTCAACCGCTGCATCACCTCCCAGCTGATCAAGTGGTTCAGCAACTTCAGGGAGTTCTACTACATCCAGATGGAGAAGTTCGCCCGGCAGTCCATCAACGAGGGCGTGACGGCCTCGGAGGAGCTGACGGTGGGCCGCGACTCCGAGCTCTTCAGGGCGCTGAACATGCACTACAACAAGGCCAACGACTTCGAGGTAAGACGAGTTTCAGTCGAATTTCCTTCGCTATCTCTTTAAATCGCCTCCATCCGGCGCCGCTCGCACACTCTCTCACACAAACGTCCTCTACTAAGTCAGCTGTTCAGCGCAACAGTCACCTCACGATTCTGCTGAGGTGTGGATGTCGCAAAGTGAGTGTGTTTGTGTGTGTGTGTGTTCGATGAGGCGAAAGAGGACGCCGCTCCAGGCGCGGGTGTCCTTGTCAAAGCGATTTGCAGAAGTCACATTCTCCCCCTCACTTTTTTTTCCCCCTCCTAATATTGGTCTGAGGGGACCTGAGGGCCCTTAAACTGTTCAACGAAACATCAGCAGCATTTAGATGTCCATTAACACACACACACACACACACACTCTGACTCCGACACACACACACACACACACTTTTGTTTTATTTTGCTTATGGTGAGAAATGTCGACGCTTAGTTGGAGCTTAAATGCACAAAGAGCGGAGATTTGCAGACGCAACACAAACACGCACAGAGATTTTAAGGTACCGGGGTGTTCTGCTGTGGATGGATGAATAGCGACGCTTTGCATCTTTTGCATAACAAGAGTCAGGTAGCTTTTCACAGGTGTGTATGTAAAAGAAGCTGCACAGGAAACACACACTCACATGCAAATCTGCGCTGTGTTTGTTCTTGCCGGTTCTTCTCCAGAGGGGTTATTTTCAGGTCTGCGGGGTGAAGGTTCGAGTCAGGGTCAAGAGTTTGGATTTGGATGTTTGAAACTTCAGGAATAAACAAAAGAAGAGGCACAGCGTGGAAAAATAAGCTCTGATTTCATCGCTTTGATTCGTCTTAGCTCATTTCAGAGCGATATGAAAATCCACTTCAGGACATTTGACACCAGAAACAGAGTTAAACAAACATTTACAGTCAATACTTTGAATACCGAAGTTCTTCATTTGCAAACAGCGAGTGTTCGGAGCGTTTCAAGTCAAACTCCGAAATCTGAGATATGGTTCAGCGCAGTGTTTTTTTTTTTAGTGTTTGTACAGCAAATCTGCGCTGATAAAAACTTTATCAAGTCAGAAAAGTTGGATAGAAAACTTTTTAAACTTTGTAATCTTCAATTTAAAAACATGTATTCATGGAGTTTGTACATTAACTTCCATTTAAAAAAAACAAGCCTTGTTTAACCTGAAGAAAGAAAAACCTTCAATAAAGTCGTATTACCTTTAAAACTGACTTTTTTTAGCAGTGTGATTTTCGTAAACACACATGTAGGCCGTGTCGAGTGAAACTGCGTCTCCTGCGGTGGTGCTAGCTCTACTCGCTTAACCCTCAGTTCCTACTATGTTCGTTTTGAGGACATTCGTCATTTTTTCATCTTTATTTTGAGTTGACAGTCACATTTTTAAAGATTGGGGCATCAAATTTGGTGAGAGCTCTTATTTTTCATCATATATAACTCTGTGTCACCTTTAGTTCTCTGTCGCTGCATTTTAGCTCCATCCACCCTCCTTTGTCTGCAAATTGGACAATAGACTTCCAATAAAAGCAAGTTTTTTGACCATGCGTTTACGGCACCATAACAACATATTACAACCTTCTTTTTGCAGTCACTCGATCACCAGGGCTCTAAATTTTACTTTCAGACAGTGACACAACAGATCGAGCCAGCACATAATTTTAACCCCTTCATTCATGAACTGAGAGTGTTTGAAGCGCTGATTCATCCACTAAACATCATCAGAAATGAATGAAACTTTACATGCCGCTAGATATGGATGTCTAAGAGTGGGATATGTGTGTAAGGAAAAGTTTGCGTGCTCCTGCGTGTGTGCACGGGTGCAAAACATGGGTCCATGTTTAAAACCAGTCAGAGTTTTGAACAAGTTTTCCTTGCGTAGTCTCAGGCCCTAAAATCGCCATCAGCGCCAGATTTCAGCGCCGAATGAGCAGGTTACTTTTGGCTTCAGGGGAAGGTCGAGGTGTGTCGTCCATCTTTATATACAGGGGATGATCATGAGGGTACATACTGGTGAGGGTGGTCCAGATGTTGAGTTTAAGGACCAAACTGGGACCCTACAGTGTATCCTCTTAAATTAGAAGATGCTGATAAAGCCTAAAGTTAAAGCACACGTCCTTTGTTCAATGAAGCATCTGTGTGTTTGCAAAGGTGGGTATAAATTTTCTTCTTGTACTTTGTCCCCTTCCCTGCCTCCTTCCCTCCCTTCACCTCCCTCCTTTCGTCCGCCTGCCCTGAGGGAACATTACCGGCTAGGGACCCTCTCTCTCTCTCTCCCTCTCTTTCTCTCCCCCTCTCTCTCTCGCTCTCTCTTTCTCCTCCTCTGTCAAACTCAGAGGCGTGAAACTGGAACCGCGGCCGAATCAGCAAGTCTCCCCCGACACACACACACATACACACACACACACACACACACACACACACACACACACACACTGAAGTCTTCTCCTTTAGCCAAATTTAGCATCATCAGAGTTCCACCTTGGTTCGTCCCCAGTCACACACACCTTCACTCCTCCCTTGCTTCCTCCTCTCCTTCTCCTTCTGTCCTCTCTTTCCCTCGTCTTTCTTTCCTTTGTCTCTTCCTGCTCTCCGTCTGGTCATTTTGCGCCCTGACAGCTTTTATTCCTTCCGTAAAAATGCACCTTTTGTCAAATTACCGGCTCAAAAAGAGGCCTTGAGAGGTTAAATCATTTGCATTTATTATGTTTTCCTTGTTAATCGAAGTCAACGCCGCGTTTTCTTGTGTGACAGGTTGAAAAAAGCTCGCATCATTAGTCTCCGAACATGGTCAGCATTTTAAATAGTCATTGTAGAGGAGTGCGGTGGAAAGGTACGAGAGTTTAATGTGTGTTGTCTTCTAAAGTTGGCGTAAACAAACCTCCGTAATTAAAGCAGCTCCATTAATTACTTTCTCCTCTTCTCTTTAGCCATTCTTTCAACTCTTCTTTCTTGTTTACCTCTCTCTCTCTCTCTCTCCATCAGTACTGTCTACTCCTTCCTCCCAGTCCCTTGTCTCTGAAACTATTTTGTCCTAATTGCAGCTCTGCCCACTAACTAATGAGGAAGAAAGGAAGGAGGCTGGAGGAAACAGGGAATAGTCTTCAAAAAAAAAAGAGGGAAAACAAAAAGAGGCAGAGAGGTTTTTTTCTGCCAGGACACTCGGGGAAAGGTGTTAGCTTCACCGTCTGCCAAGAGGAAGAGAAACGTTTCCCCTTTCTTCTTTTATATTGAGAACAGATTGAAGAGTTGTTGGTGAAGGCTGCCAGTAGCACGGGACACGGGACTCTTACCTTGTGATTGTGTGTGCTTGGAGTTAAGGGGGGAATGAGTTTGTAAAGTTTTATCCTCAGGAATCTTTAAAAAGACAGTTTAAAGCGACGGTGAGAGGTTTTTTAAATTTTTAAATTAGGATTTTAAAGGTCGACAGCCTTTCCTCGTCTTTTCAAAGAAACCAGTGTTCAGTGTTCAATGGTATAGCAAATTTAACATCTAATATAGAAATGTCAAGTAAAAATCTTTGTCTTTACAATTCTTTGTAGGGAGGGGCTGCGAGCTGAGCTACTGCCTTTTATTTCTCGTACTCAGAGCAAATTGGGATTAACTCAAAGCTTGATAACACCAGGTTTGTAATGTTGTCTGATATCAAGCCAAGTTTAAAATCAGACTGCTTAACACTTTTTGGTTTAAGGGAAGGGGCTGCGAGGTGAGCTGCAGCTCATGTTTACTCAAAGATGATCAGGGAGTCTGTTATTCTTAAAACTACCTGACTGAGTTTCTCAGATGAATACAAACTGAACAAAAGGGGTTTCAAGCCACATGTCACTGCTTTTGTTGGTTCTCAGCAAAGAGGGGCTGCGAGCTGAGCTGCAGCTAACATTTACTCATTTCTAAGTGTAAATCAGAATTAACTCAATGCTTGATATCACAAGGTTTGTAATGTTAACTGATATCAAGTCAAAACTCAAACTGCCTCACAATTTTTGGTTGAAGGGGAGGGGCTGCGAGCCAAGCTGCTGCTTACATTTACTCAAAGATGGATCAGGAGGTCTCTTATTTTTAAGGCTACCTGACTGAGTATTTCAGGTCAATGGAAACTGAGTTTTAAACCAACTATTACTGTTTTTGATGCTTTTCAGCAAAGAGGGGCTGTGAGCTGAGCTGCTGCTTACATTTACTCAAAGATAAATCAGGAGATTCCTTATTCTTAAAACCTGACGGAGTTTTTTCAGATCAATACAGACTGAGCTAAAGGGGTTTCAAGCCAACTGTCACTATTTTTGATGGTTCTTAGCAAAGAGGGGCTGCGAGCTGAGCTGCAGCTAACATTTATTCATTTCTAAGAGTAAATCAAGAATGACTTAACTCTTGATAACACAAGGTTAGTAATGTTAACTGATATCAAGCCAAATTAAAAATCAGAGTGCTTAACATTTTTTGGTTTAGGGAAGGGGCTGCAAGCTGAGCTGCAGCTGACATTTACTCAAAGATAGATTAAGAGGTCTCTTATTTTTAAAACTACCTCACTGAGTGTTTCAGATCAATACGGACTGAGCTGAAGGGGTTTTAAGCGAACTGTCACCGTTTTTGATGTTTCTTAGCAAAGAGGGGCTGCAAGCTGCTGCTAACATTTACGAGTATTCAATAAACAAACTCAGTTATTCAAATAAGGAAAAACACTTTTATATAGACGTGTTAGAAATCTGGGTTCTTGGATGGTATATTGCATACATAATACTTTGATTAAGTGGGCTGGTAGCTGAGCTGCTACTTAAAGTCATGAATTCAGTGTTATTTTGTTATTTTTGTTTCCATTTTCTTCATCTTTTGTGGGAAACAAATGTTTTGTACTCTTGGATTCATCTCCTGTATTTTTAGATCTCTCACTTTATCGACCACACTTGAAGCTGCACACATGCTGTGGAAATTGGGCGTGAACTTTTTGAGCTGAGATCTGCCGATATTGAGTAAACAAGTGCGATTAATAGATAAGAAATTCACCGCACCGCCGATCATGCATTGGTGAAAGTTTTGGGGGTAGATCTGAGCGGGAGGCGAGTGCAGACGGGATGAAGCTGTCATATTTTGGTGTGTTTGTGCGTCGGCTGAAGAGGGACAATGAGACGTTTTAGCGAAGCCTTCTAGAGGACGTTCTCATCTTTCCAGTTCAAGGATCCTCGCTGCCTCTGTCAGCACCAAACCACGGCACAGCTGCGCCTCCCACACACACACACACACACACACACACACACACACATGTTCACACCGACATACACACAGATACTCATTTGTGTTCGTCTGAAAGAGCAGCGATGGTTCCTCTTGAAGGGTGGGTGTGGCTGCGACCAAAATGTGCCCTTTGACTCTGACACACACTCACGCTCACAAATACACACACCTGGAGGCCATGGAGTGGTCACACACTCACATTTCAGGGCTATCCGGTTTCATAAGCTGTGCACTTTGTGAAAAGCTCAACTTCTCATGTCTTTCTCCGCCGTTTTAGATTCTTTGTCAGCCTTTGTCTCTCCTTATTCACTCATCTTTTTCCGCTTCCTCTTCATCTTTAGAGGAGGTGAAAAAAAGGGGGGCTGGGCTCGACTCTCAGGAATCGATTCTCAAAGTGGGCTCTCTTTCAGATCCTCTCCCTCCAGAGAAACAAAAGAAAATGTACATTATTCTGTTAAGAGCTCAACGCTGGTTCAATACCCAGTAAAACAACGCTGTTTTGTCCGGCTCGGTCTGTTCTTTCCTCCTGTCACGTCCGTCTTTCTGTCCTCACCTTCGTCTATTTGTAACCTACCCAGAAGGCACACACACACATTTCAAAGACTACACCTGTCCCTGCTCTCTCTCTCTTTGCCCGACCAACTCTGATCTCTCTGTTATTCCAAGCTTCAGGCGATCGCTAAATGAAGGCAACTCTTATTGGTCGTTGATTGATTTTATCGCATTAAATGATCACAAAATATTGAGTGTGGAAGGAGGAGTGTTCCCACTGCAGCTAGAGGAGAACAAATAACTCCATGCTGTAAAAAAAAAAGGCGCTATTGGAGCAACCTTCTTCAAAATATGTTTAAATGCATCTGATCTGCTTTGCCAAATACATTTCCAAGCAGCTCAGGGTGAGCGGACGGGCGCACGAAGCTGAGGAGTCTGACTCTGGAGAGTGAGATTTGCATCCGGCAACATAATTTTAGCTGTAGGCTGCTTTAACTCCGGGTGAAGATTAAGAAAAGATCAAGGTTTTGTTGAAAACTCAAGTCAAAGCGTCTTATTGTATACTGAAAGTCAACTTTAGATTCTGCAGTATTTGACAAAAGCGGTGATCCTGCCTTAACCTTTCCTCAGAGCTTCAATGGCATGAAGAATAATGGGCAGAAAAAACTGTTTATGTTTGAGCTTTGAGAAGAAGAAACTAGTCAAAAGAACAGAAATAATTTGAAGGTTAATTCAGTTTAAATATTTACTGATTATGCCGGGGAAGAATATGTGATAATAGGGGCGCAAAATTTCCATTAAAAGTATAAAAGATGCAAACTCAACTCGGTTCAATGCTTTTCTTGCAGTCTTATGATTGAGAAAGAAAGTTTAAAGAAAAGGCAATTAAGAGTTGAAGCTGCAAGCAAGAAGCCGGTGGAAATTGACACATTAACTTGAATATTTACGATCAGCTGCGATTGGCGGATACGGCCTTTTCGTGGTCATTCTGGATGCGGTGGAAATTGGGGGTCAGCATGAGCTCAATGCACATGGAGATCTGTACTTTGGCTTACAATGACTTTGACTCAGCTATCATCTGTCAGGCACTGAAGAAAATTCTGTGTCTAGTGAAGAATACAAGGGGCAAGTTTGGTCAAACATGCACCCTTAAAAATCGCTAAAATCAGACTTTCACCTAAAATTCTGAAAGCGTGTTTTTGTAGGTCATTGATATCTAGGAATGTACCGATCCGCTATTTTCACCTCCGATACCGTTACAGATATCTACAGTTTAATATCGGCCAATACCGATCCAATCCCGATAAAAAAAGGTGCGCTGAATAACCTTTTGTTCTAAGTTTTACCACCGCCCCTCGGAACGTTTACTGCTTAGGTATTGCAAGTGGCCGTCGAGCTTGTAGGCTGAGGTATTATGATGAAGTTCAAGATAGCAGACCCCTTTGCTCGCTCCATTTTGAAAACAATGTCGGCATCCGCTCAGCGTGTTTACTTGTGGTTGCCACTCACAGCGCACAGCATAGAGCTAGACTAAATAGATTGGCCCCAACGCTCTAATGTCACGATACCGATCTAGAATTTTCTTCAGTATTGGGATTAGGGTTGGGCATCGAGTCTCGAGCACCGATGGGAACCGGAACTATTGCTCCGATTCTCCCGGTACCGTTCAAATTTAGAAATACCCGCCGGAAACCAACAATATCGGATTAGAAAAATTGTTAGGAACTGGAATCAAAACGAGGAATCGGAATCGTTCAAAAATCAAACGATACTCAACCCTAATTGGTACCGATACCAATATCAAAAATCGGATCGGTGCATCCCTAATGGTATGACACATATGCAAGTCTCGCACATGCAGGTTAAACCCACTGGAGGTTTAGGGTGTCACTATAGAGATAGTGGTATAAGCATGTGCGCTCCTGCTCATATAGTTAGGCCTTAATAAGAGGTGGTATTTCAAATAACTAAGACAACAGCTGAGGAACAACGCTTATGAACGCACAGGAGTGTGTCGATGTCGAACAGTGTCATTAAGCGAGAGTGAGCACTAAGTAACTCCTCTCCGTCCCCGTCTGTGTGAGCAGTGCGCCGCAGACAATGCCACCTGCCAGTTTCTGTCACTATAATTATAGCGATCTACTCGCCGTGTGTGTGTTCGGCGTGTACGGCGAATGTGTGTAAATGCGTGTCTTGGTATTCCAGTGCAGAAGAAGAAGGCATCATCGTTGTCACTGAGCCTGATTGGAGTCACGAGGAGGCAGCAGCAGCAGCGGTGTATGCCTGTGTGTGTGTGTAAGTGTGTGTGTGCTCTTCCTGTATGTGTGTGTGTGTGTGTGTAATTATAAGTGTGTGTGCAGTGATTCCCTTCCCCTGCCCCAGCTGTCTCCTTAGCTTTAACAATAGGCCTGCTAACAAAGACGTGGCCTTCAGCCTCCGTCATGTGATACTAGTGGTCTGCAGCCTCGCAGTCAGATGACCCGCGCCATTGTCCTCTATGGGTGACACACACTTGCACACACACTTGCACACACACATACACACAGAAGAAGGAACATAACGCACACACTAAGCCAAGGAAGCACAGCACGTGTATGAAAGGGCACACACACACACACAAAAGTGAAGACAGGCATAATGGGGATACACACTCAGGAGATAGTGAGGACAGACGCACACTCGCGGAGACACAATCTCAGGACGCAGACCCTTCCTCTGGGTCACATGCAGCGTGAACAAAGAGAAACTTTATTGCCATTGTCCTGGTGACAGTGAGATCAGTGGCTGATTGACAAAAGAGCAGCATAGAAAGGAAACATATTGCTGATGTCCTGGAGGAGGCCCCACTCTGCGGTTTTACCTCCATTCAGGAGGAAAATGTGGAGAAGGTCGATTGTGTTTGAAAACAGCTGATTATTCCTCCTTTAAGTACAAGCTGCAGCAGTTTTCTTTTAAAGATTCAATCCAAGAAAAAAAAGTTGATTTAATTTGATGTTGCTGTCAAACAAACCAGTTCAAGTGAAATACTGAACTCACTACTCACTGTAAAATCCACTCTTTTTGTGAGACCGGCAGCTTTCTAAAAACAAACTTTACAGGACATCCAGGATCCCTCAAAAGAGAAGAAATCTGTGTTCATTTATGTTTGATTGTATGTGCGACTTTTGCTGGAAGCTGACTCAAGTTTTCCAATTTTGTTATAGTCTGTTGACCAATCAGAGGGAGTATCAACAAACAACTGACAAATCAGAAGCCAACACCAGGACATGATATGGTACCACATTGAAAATCCACTAGAATTGATAAAAGGATCAATGGGCAGAATCAATAATAGCTTTTATGTCAATACAATCTTATTGATTTCCATTCAGAGTCAAAAAGCACCTTAACAGACCAAGAAGTCCAGGTTTATTTAATGCTGAAGTGCAATTCCCTAAGTGTCCACTTGGGGCTGACTCCAAAAGTGAGTCAAACTCCATAGAGACGCATGTTAACGTGCAAATTTTCCCATCAGAATTTCACATGTTTACAGCCTGGTACAGAAACAGTTTTTGGCGTGCAGCTCATAAATATGTTTGTTCACAGAGCAGTAGAGGGCAAATTTTTGTAACTCATCTGTTTCGGTTTTATTAAGACTCAGAGTTGTACATAAATTTAGATGAGAAGAAGCGTGACTTAGTTGACAGATGGCTAAATGTTGTTACATCTACAATATCATCATCAATCAAATATCATCAAACATTAGGGCTCGGACGATATGCTTTTCTCCCGATTAGACTCCTCTACGATTTTTGGATGCCCATTGAATTTAAATTGCGATTCTACGATATTGTTGATTTTCTCCATTTTTAGTCTGCATTTTTAACATCAGTGAAACAACTGAATAATTATGATTGTCTACTTACTATTCCAGGAACCCTATTTCCCCCAAAAAGTAAACTTAACATGTAAGTCAGTTTTTTTTAGATTTATTCTTAAATAAAAAAATAGAATTTTGAACATAAAAATTGATTTAAAAATTGTAAAACAAAATATTGTGATACTTATGTGAATAGATTTTTTCTCCCACCCCTACAGTATGACAAAGAAACTAACTGTAAAATCCACTGGGTTCCTGAGACCGGCAGCTTTTAGGGAATAAACTCAGAGTCTGTCTGACATCAGCAGACTTTTCTAGAAGATTGGTGTATTTTCCAAGACTGTTTAGTTATAATCCCCGTAAAACAAACACAATATGTGACAAGTTACGCTTACATTTTAGTAAATTGCGTAACTTGCTAGCCAACTAAGCTAGATGACAGCTGAATTATCTACCAATCAGAGGCTGTATCTGTGATCGGCTTTCGGTTTAGGCTTTGAGCATAAAAATAGGATTGATAATTCTTATTAGCTCAAAACTGAATCTTCATTATATTTCAACTGTGATAATTTCATCCTAAGATATTAAAAACATTCTATTAAATCATTAACTCAGCTTCTTTAGTTGTTTCTGGAAGAAGTCTTTCTACAAACAAGTTGAAAATATGGGTTCAGGTAATCGGGGTCATTTCAATAAGGTTTTAATGTGAATTTGCCAAGCGTGTCACTCTGTCCTCAGGGGGGTGAACTCCGGCCAAATCATCCCCCCCTGACCACAGATTGACGTCAGAGATGTTATTGCCATTTCTGTGAATCTAGGAGACTGGAGCGCACAAGACTTTAAGGTTCCTAAATACTAACAGCCTTTTGAATATTTTCTTTTTCTGAGACCGAGTCCTTTCATTGCTTTTTAATTAAATATTCAAGGTTGGTTACGGTGCGAGGCCTCGCTCTTGTTTATTACCATTATTCTCTGAAGTTTCTGCCCGTAAACCGTGACTTCTTTTTCAGCATCGTCTTTTTTTCCTTTCTCACATCAGTCTGCGGTTTGAATCGGCTTTTTTTTAAAAAAACTCCTGGAAAGCGTTTTCATCTTTCTCGTTTCGGTCACATCAAAATGATCCTGGAGGAAGGCGGTTACAGTCAGCGGGAGAGGAAACAGAAGCCGATCCTGGAGGAGCTCACAGATGGAAAGGGGAGGACACATATGCATGCAGGCGGGGGTGTGTGCGTGTGCGGGAGTTTCTACCCAAAACAGCAATGTTTTGGACACAAATGAAGGAGCGTCTGTTTGAAAGTGTGAATCAGTGTCAGAGTGATGTAATTTGAGAGGCAGGAGTGTGCTCAGTCTAAAATATAAAGAGAACAACAGCAGCAAAAGCAGCAAAAGCAGCTTCAGTCATGTTTTAATCTTAAATACAGAGATAAAAGCGACAGAAAACAAAGAGTGGGTATGAATTTCTGTTTCTTAGTTCCTGTTAAAGAAGGAAAGATCAGAGGAGGAAAATACGAAGGACGAGTCTCTAATCTGTGTGTGTTTTCTGTGTATGTGTGTGTTCGCATTTTCCTGCCAGGGTGTGTTTGACTAAAGCCAGGCCTGATAGAGAGGCAGAGAGAGAGAGAGAGAGAGAGAGCGCGAGAGAGAGAGGAGGAGGAAAAAGGAAGCAGATGCTTGTGCGTTGGCACCAAAATGATATGTCCACTCACACACACACATTTGCAGTGTCCACAGAAGGAGCAGTGCGCTGCAGAGCTCCAGTATTGTCTCCATGATAAAAAAAAAGAAAAGAAAAATACACAACTGACCGATGAGTAAGTGGACCTGAAGGCCACAGAGGGGACAAGTGGTGGCAAAAGGGATCAGATTGTGTCGAGACAGTTAAAAAAAAATCTCAATTATCAGAGTAAAATATAACCTGATAAAACTACAGAATCAATCTAACATCAGTACGATCATTAGAACAGTCCTGTCACAGCTAGGGGTGGGCGATACAGCAAATATCTATAGGCTATCACAATGTTTTTTTCTTTTTAGTCGCAGAATCGCAATCCTGATTTTATCGTGATTATTTCACGTTTACTTTCAAAACTGTTTCGCAAGTTGCTGACAATAACAACCAAACATGTGTCCTTATTTCAAAAATATATTCCCTCAAAAACAATAAGAAACCTACGATGGGGTATTAGAGCCACATTAAGGAAAAAAAATTTAAGTAAAGTAAAAGAATTACGAGAATAAAGTCATAACAAAATCATTACTAAAGAGAATAAAGTTGTAGTACAATCATTACTTACAATAATAAAGTCGTAATAAAGTGATTGCTTACGCGAATAAAGACGTAATAAAATAATTACTAGAATAAAGTCATAATACAGTAATTACTCACGAGAATAAAGTCGTAATAAAATCATTACTTACTAGGATTAAGTCCTAATAAAGCAATAACTTGCCAGAATAATGTCGTAATAAAATCAAGTCATAGCTAATAGCCATTCCAATCAACCAATCCCTTAAATTTAATTTATACAGACATTAAAAAAAACATAAAAAACTCCTTATAGTATCTTTAATTAGTCATTATGAAGCCCTTATTTAACATAATGAAGTCCCAGAGCCAGAAGTTTGTCTTAAGTTAAAAAAATATATACTCTAAAAACTATTACTCAATTGTGATCAGTAACTGTGGATTTAATATTGATCTGAATAATCTTTTCCACCGGTCCAGCCTTACTTTACAACAGGCTAATCAAGCACACGCATGTGTACACACACTTGAGTAAACACTGTCGGGGTAATGGAGGGAGGTAGACAGACTTAAAGTAAAGCAGAAAACAGAAGGAACACACACACTGACACACACACACACACACACACACACACACACACACACACACACACACGTCCAGCCTGTTTGCACACCTTGAGAATCAAACATATGGTGTTTGTACAGTGATTTCTTAAGAGCCTGGCGTGTGTGTTTTGGGCAAAACAGTGTGTGAGCGAGGGGAGAAGAAACAGAAAGGTAAGGGAGGGAAAAAGGAGTCAAATGAGGACACATGGTGACAAGAGAGGGGGAGAGATAATGGGGGAAAATGAGCATCATTTGAAATAAGTCTATAATGTCTCAGCAGCACAGGAAACAAACAGGTGGAGGTCTGCAGAGCGTCACAGGTGTACCATTTCCTTCACGTGTGTCAGTTTTATTAAGACTATGTAAAGACGTTTTTAAATAGGTCAGTGTATCCATGAAGAAGTAACCTACTTTTAAAAGCCTCTCCTTTGAATCTAAAAATAATTTTAGTGCAACACTGCCCTTTTGTGCTCCTGTCCCGCTCTGTATAAAAAAATAAAAAAAACGACTAAATTAGCAAACTGGACGTCACTGTTGCTAAGTGCTCGCTGCTGAGCCGTTTGTGCACTTCAGGTGTTGTTGACACGGTTTGCGCTTCTTTGTGTTTCCTTTTCACACTCTCTGCTCGCTCATGAATACGAAGAGGTGATTGGAACTGGAAACAGAATATTATCCAAGAGAGCAAAACTTCAACTAAAACATGAGTGTGGACACGGAGTAAAATGATGATAAAGCCTGAAAAAAGCACATTATAAAGCCCCAAACTAGCATGACTCTGTAGTGGAAGTCACTGCATGAGTTTAACGTCATTATTACAAGCTCGGTTTGGTGTGCGACAGCAGCAGGTGTGTGTGTTCATGCCTGAAAAGTAAAGGGACGGACTGAGTGCAAAAAGAGAGGATGTAGCGATCACGAGCGAGAACCAGAGTTGACGAATCAGCAACTGCTGCGCTATAAATAAGCAATGTTCGCCGTAAGATGCCATTTATTAGTGCGGTATAAGTCCATATTATATTGACATAATCCTAATTTTTTAGCGTTGTAATGAAGCGGGCTTGTAAAGGCTAAATAATATGTACTTTAATTTACAACTTCAGCAGTTTGGTTTTTAAAATACTCACAGAAAACCACCTTTTTTAATAAACGTGACTTTGAATGTTTTAGTAATAAAATATGAAGTCTTAAAGGGATATGCCGGCGTAAGATGAATTTAGGGTCAAACACACCGTAGCACAGAGTTAGACACCCCCTCGGGAGATGAATGTTGCCTCTTTGTCTAAACACAACTCACCTACTCTCTTCCTGCAGCCACCTGTTTGTAGTGAGACCTCATGGGGTGACGCAGCTCAAGGAAGAACATTTATGATCATTTCTTTATCATTTCCTGTCATAAATGTTCTTCCTTGAGCTGTGTCACCCCGCTGTAGTCTGTAATGGACTGGCCTGAGGTCCCCCTACGAACAAACGGCTGCTGGAAGAGAGTAGGTGAGTTGTGTTTAGGCAAAGTTAAAAAGATGTTTGGTGGCTAGTGCTGTGGCTGGGACCCTATATGTACTGCTGATGAAGTTAGGTGCTGTTCTGAGCATTATTTGTGGCTATAGAGTGGCGTTTTGGTTAAAGTGTGTTTATGGCTCCTCAGACTTCTGTGTATTGCTATCATGCGGTCGTTACTAAAGTTGGTATAACTAGAGAAGCAAGCGGTCGGCAACATTAATCTCTCGAGGGGGTCTCTAACTCTGTGTTATGGTGTGTTTGACCCTAAATTAATTTTACGCCGGAATATCCCTTTAAGCCTGAATGCAAAGACGGTTAAAACCAAAAGACAGATTTGCAAATGGAGACAGTGGAAGAAAAAGCAGCAAATGCAGCATGAACATGAAAATGAAAGTGCAATTAAATATCCAAAAATAAGCGTAACAAGTTTGCGTGTGATTTTTACTGGGCTAGCTCGTGATTTCTCTGGAGACAAATATCCCTAGAAGAGAGGAGGAGACACCAAAAAGGAGGGACAAAGGAAAGACCCTGGAGGCCTCTTTGTTGGGCAGTGATTTAGAGATTTACAGGCTCTTGTCCTTCTGTGTGTATGTGTGTGTGTGTGTGTGTGTGTGTGTGCGTGTGTTGTGTTTAAGTGTGTGTGTGTGAAGAGAGAGTAATTGAGCCTCCCTTCATCCAATATTTACCCACCAAACCGGAGCAATCATGCGAATTATGTTTACTGGGAACCAAGTGTCCTTTCTTCCTCTTTATCTTTCTCTTTCTCACTTTCCTCCCATTCCTCGCTCGCTCTCGCTCTCCTGGCAACTCTATACCGTATCAAGATCCAAGCCAGGAGCACACACAAACACAAAAACACACACGTGCACACGGACACACACTTATGGGGGAGACAGGCCCATCTGTATTGATGATGGCCTAATTTAGATCTCTTTATTGGACTGATTTACGATGGCCAGACAAATCTGGGCATCTGGACATAAGTGTGTGTTGGTGTGTGTGTGTTGGTGTGTTTGTCCAGACACATAATAACCTCTCCTGCTTCATTTCAATCTTCCAGCTCGTGTTTTCCTACCTTTCTGTGATTCAGCGCCATCTCTTCCCTCCCCCTCCGTCATTGCCTCGTCGCAGCGTTTTTGAGTCCCCTCGCCCTGCTGCGGTGACGCACGTCATCCTGAAACATTCAAAAAACACACAAAAATCACGGCTACGCAACACAAAACACGAGGTCAAGGTGACTGAAATGCTTATTCTCTCGCTGCACGTGGCATTTTTTTGTTTCATGGCTCTTTGAGGAGGAGATATTAATGAAAGCAGAGAGGAGGAGGAGGAGGAGGCAAAAATAGAGCTGAGATTTGGGAGGAGGGAAACAATCAAGCCGCCTGACAGATATTAAGAGAAATGATTAGAAGACGTGGATTCGCCATCTTCGCGAAGATAAAAGTGAATGTGAACAACCAGGAGATGGATTGAAGTAATCCAGGAGGGAGGAGACGCCTCAAAGGGACGTTCATCTTCAAGATCAAGCTCCGGTTTCAACTTCTGTTCATCCCGATGGGCAGCAGCTTCACTTTGAGGGTTTCTTCAGTTTCTTGCGGAGGGTTTAGCCTCATTCAACGTCTCCGTCTTGACGTTACAACATGTGATGTTACAACATCTGTAGTTCCTGCCATAATTCCTATCCAGATGCAAACAACAAGAGCTTCTTTAAGTTTATGCTGAGACGTTAACCAAAGCAGCCTATCCCAGGCCGTCGATACGACAAATCAATGAAGAAGGAACATAAACTTAACCTTTATGCAGATGACACTCTTATTTACCTTAAAGATACACATCAGTTATAACCAGTGTTACTTCATGAAAATGACAATAATGGCACTATGTGAGCGCAATTAAAATAAAAGTGAAGCTGTGGAAGTTGCAGGATGACTTTAAAATAGTTTATGAGGCCAAACTTAAGTCTATTTTAAGACTTTTTAAGAACTATTTCTAACAATTTGTGGAATTTATGATGAGAACGTGTTGAAGCTTCGTGAAAATGACAATAATGGCACTTTGTGGAAGTTGGAAGATGACATTAAAATAGTTTATGAGGCCAAACTAAAGCTTGAGGAACTATTTCTAACAATATGAAGAATTTTTGACAAGAACCTTTTGAAGCCTTGTGGGTCCAGACTACATAGGTGGAAAATTTGACCGCTTTCTCTACTAGCAAAAATAAATAGCATTACTTTTAACATTTGCTACTTTTTCTCTCTGTTTCAGACTTTTTTTAGGACTTTTAATACATAACTTAAAAACTGAATGAAAGTCATGTCATGTAAATGCAGCTTTACTGTTCTTCAACTAACAGTGATATTAATTTGCGGCCAAATCGCTCAGCCCTACTTTAGTATAGGCTGAGGTATGGTCAATATGCTTTTCGATAGTCGGCATTCTGCCATGTTTTGGTAGACTATACGAATAGCCAATGAAAAGAGGAGTTTCTCCCGGTCCGCTTTGCACTGAACCAATCATGTGCTGAATTAAAACCAAGTAGCGAACAACTGCGACAAGAGACACAAAGACCTCACAGATGCAGTAGATTATTGTGTTGCAAAAGACATGCTAACTATGAGCACTGTTTAATTTCATTTTTTATATCATGATATATCGATATTGATAAAATATACCGTGATAAACTTTCTCCCATATTGCCCAGCTCTAGCTGAGGCTGATGGTAAAAACTCCCTACAAGAATTTTTCCGCTGTCCCGTGTCTCTACCTATGTAGAAACTGTATTTGTTTACCTTTGTTGTTTACGAGGAAGTGTGTGTGTGTGTATGTGCGTGTGTGTTTGTGTCTACAGTCTGGTCTAAAGTGAGACAGTGACAGAGGGCCTCATTGAAATAACCGCCGTCTCAGGGGTCCGGCTAAAAAGAGAGAGAGGGCAGCGAGAGTAGACCGAGTATATGAGAGTCCGGGGAATCATTTAGAGTGTGTGTGTGTACGTGTGTTATTGTGTGTGTGTGCGTGCGGGGTGATTCATCCGTTCTGGTGGCGGCTAACCTTGGCATGTCCTGCCACGCGTGACGGGGTTACACCCAGACCGCGCTCGTCCTCTACTCTCGCCGGGTGAGTGTGTGCGAGGGTTTGTCGGGGTGTACGGGAGCATGTACCTCGTCTGGAAGAGCCGGCCCGAGCGTGTGTGTTACAAAGTGTGTGTGTGTGTGTGTGTGTGTGTGTGTGTGTATCTGCATGCAAGAAAAAGAGACAAAGAGGAAGAAAAAAGAGAGAGAGGGGAGGGGTTACACTCGTCAGGTTGTTTAGTGTCTTTGAATGATCTTGCCCCCGGGAGAAAGGGCAAAAAAAAAAAGAAAAATGTGAGTGTGTGTGTGTGTGTGTGAGCCATTGTTCTGCTGTCACACACACACACACACACACACACACACACACACACACACTCAGCATTAAAATCCACACACACACACAGCCGTGTGATGACAGTATATTTATGCCTGCTTGTGGAAAGGACAATTGGATCCCTGCACCCCTTTCCCTCTTGTTTCAACTCACACACACGGTGACGGATCACAGACAACTGTTCACCTGCCATCCTCAAGGACTGCGTGTGTCATCTGTCATACGTGTGCAGAAGGAACTCACACACACACACACACACACACACACACACATATACACATACACATACACAGGGAGCTGTTAAGAAAGGGGAAGTATATTTAGAGGAAGTTGAGAGCGGAGGAAGAACTCTGTACAGGAATAGTAACATATGGACACCTGAAACACACGCACACTTCACCTACTTCTTCGTTTTCAGCCACAGAGATGCTTCTTTTACCAGCAGACACTTTCACCTGTAAGACTTGAGGTCCGCCACTGCATTACACCCTTCCTTATTCACTCTGTGACAACAAAGGTCACTCGCGTTTTGATAGTTTGAAGCAGCTGCTTACGGTTCTGAAACTTTGGGGACTTTGGTGTGTGTCTTGGTGGATTTTTTGACGTCCAGGCTCTGAATTTGCTGCAAGATATGATGTTTTAAGGCATTAAAACACCAATCAAAACTGAGCTTCTCCAAAAAATGTACACTCCAGCATAAATCAGCATGATAAATACTAATCATAATGGTTTAAACCATGTTTGACAACATTTTCGTTCGCATGTTTTTCAGTTTTAAAGTTTGGTTCATGTCCCATCTGTTTCCATGGAGGGCGCAGGCTTTAATGTTGATGTTGGTGTTAAAGTAGTTCTGTTTTAATTATACTCTAATTAGAATATTTTACCTGTATTTGCAATGAAACCTTTCTTTGATTTCTTTTATTTTTCAAAAATCATAAAGAAATTGGACTAGTATTTAGTACATACACTGTATCCAGCCAGTAGGGGTAGCTCTAAACAGTGAAAACTGGGGATTGACGCAGCATTTGGTTGTTTATCCAGTAACAGAAGATGACGAAAAATATTCCGACTTTTGGACAGGACTTCTCTGTCTATTTTACACCCATTTGCTGGTGCGGTGCCCTATTTTTACCACAATTTTATTACTTTTTTTGTGTGTGTGTATCTCTGAGTACTGTCTACTAACATCAGGATTTATTCCGAACAAACAGAATTATCGCTGAAGCAGAAGTACTACTTCTATATTTTGAGCTTTTCAACATCATAAAGTCATAAATATGTAAACGAAGCTCAAAATTTAGGAACAAACAGAGGCGCTGATGGACAATAACTTCCTTAAATCAGAGTCTTACAGTTTCCTCTGTCTCCCTCGTCTCTGTCAGGTCCCCGATCGGTTCCTAGAAGTGGCCCAGGTGACCCTTCGCGAGTTCTTCAACGCCATTGTTGCGGGAAAGGACGCGGACCCGTCCTGGAAGAAGGCCATCTACAAGGTGATCTGCAAACTGGACAGCGAGGTTCCCGAGGTCTTCAAATCGCCAAACTGTCTACAAGAGCTCCTCCACGACTGACTAAGGCGGGGGAGGAAACACCGCAAGCTGGACAAGCCTCCGAAAACTGTACGAAGAATTTACGTAGATTAGACTCTATCGAGGTTTCACGTTCGTAAACGAGACGCAGACTTGAACTGATCTTCTCGGAGGTTTGTTGGGTGTAATTTCGGTCATCTTTCGCTCTCGAAATGTTTTATAAAGCAAGAAAATATAAAAGGACTTCAACGACGAGGGCTCAGACTCACGAGTCAAACTCAGAAATTATGTCAAAACTTTTATAAATTAAAAGCAAAACAGTGAAATCGAACCTCCTTGCACTTACGGAAAAAGCTCCTAGTTGCTGAAAAACCCCGTCTCTTCGCTCAATCTCGCTCTTCATCCCTCTCTGGAGCGGCCGCAGGATGAGGAAGGTGAAGGATCAATCTTCATCCCGTGACTCTGGGGTCTGGAGCGCACTAAAAATAAAGAAGATAATATATAAAATCTTTTTATTGTGGATGTTTTTAAGTTACATGGACTTCTTTTGGGAAAAAAAAGTGATGTTTCTGTATTTTTCCTCCTTTGTATAAGCTTCTCTTCTATGAACCCTGAGTCACTTACACACATACATACGCACACACAAACACACACACACACACACGAACACACACCATCCTCTTGAATAGGAAAGCACAGTAGCATTCCCAAATCCTCACCCGAACCCAGGCGACCTGGGTGCAAACAAGCTTAGTTGTTGTTTATTTCCCTCTTCTTACTGTACTGAGACGCACTGGGTGTTTGTTTTTCTTTGATTTTATGACTGTGTGGCTCTCCCTGACCTTTCCCCAGCCGCCCCTCATGGCTCATGTTGCGTTTAAGTACCCGGAGCAAAGAGGAAATCTCATTTTATTACAGCGCATTGTGAAAAGAAGTGGTCTGGATCTGGTTTAAACTGCAGTTTAAGTCCAAATGTGTCACATTTCTGCACTGAAAGTCCTCAAACATCAGAAGTTTTTAACATTTATTTCATTTCGGCTGTGAAAGTACATGGTCCCCAATCTTTTAGCTACGTTCAAATTTCATAGTTTTATGCCAGCAAGTTCGAATTTATGAGGAAACTCAAGAAATCCAGATTATAGGTCATCAGTTAAAAATGCAAGCAATAGCGCTACTCATTAAAGCAAAAACTCCCATAACCCCACATGGTTTAAAGCTGCAGTAATGATTTTGTAAAAACTTTTGTAAAATACACTTTTTAGGTTGTACAAAATCAAACAAGACCATCAGCAACATTTTTTTTCTAATTTTTTAAGCCTAAAACCAGAGTGAGGGGGGTAGGTGTCAGCCACATTTACACCTAAAGTAATTACGAATAAATCGTTTATTTGACCGTCTAAAGTCGGCAGGATGAGATATTCGTCAGAAGACACAACATTGGCATGTTGATGGACCTTAAGACTGGTTCGTCCAAGGGGGGCGCCAAAGTCGCCCAAAGGAGCTTTAATATCATGAAAGTGTCTTTAATGACTGCTTTGATTTAAAGGACCCTTTGTGGCTGAAATTACATGAAGTAACTTGGGTAAATTTGCAATTTACTGCTCTTATTTGATGAAACTATCACAATAGACAGTTTTTGACATGTATATCTTTTATTTTATAATAATAAATTGTATTTATAACGCGCTTTTTCGGGTGCTCAAAGACACCTTTCAAAGAAAAAGAGGAAAATAAAATGAAAAAACGCAATATAAAATACAGAAAATTTTGGGAAATAAAACCAACGATGTAAAGGGTTAAAAAAGACACAATATGAGAAAACAATGGAAGAACGCTTAACAGGTTAAAAGCCAATTTTAAAAGTTAAAAACATATTTTTTAATCCCTTTAAACAGCCACCAGGGGGTCTGTGCCAGGCAAAATAATTAATCTCCCTCCGTGAAGGCGGCCTTTTTTATATATTCCATAAATCTGACTGCTATCAGGAGCATTTTTAATACCAGACAAGACGACTTAGAAGAATTATGAACAGGACAAAATGAAAAAGATTCAAAGAGCTGTTTTGTCCACAGAGGTCACCAAATAAACACAAATTGAAAATTCTTTATGGTGGCTTTAAGTGGTGTTATTATTTAGCTGAAGGTATAGCGATCATGCTAACCAAAATATTGCCACAGAAATAAAATTTTAGTCACGTGATATTTTTTATACTGTGAAACTTCATGTTTTAAGAAGATGTGTTCTGACTGAAAATTACACCTACGAAGGGCTAGAAGATTAAGACCGTAACTTCGGCCTCCGTTGGAACTGTCTGGTATAATCCCAAAATTTTTACTGGTGTATAAAATAAAAATCGGGCAATATTGGACTTCAGAATAGCCAAGGACGCTTCAAGAGATTTCAGGCCCAATGTAAAAATAGCTTTTGCAAAAACAGACACTTGTGGAAAGCTAACATTGCTGAGTGGTTTATTTTTGCCAACAGAGTCATTTATAAAACCTTTTACCATCGTGGTACCAATTTCCAATGGGAACAAACTCATTATTCCAGTTTAATGTGGTCTGCTGGTCACTTTTTTACACCACATCATCATTCCCTGATGTTAAACACTGCTCCTTTCATTTATGGTGCTTCGTTTCTTCTGAACCTTGAGGATTACATGTGGTCCAATCAGACCTCCGGCTTTACCAAACCTCACTGAAAAAGCAGATTTTCGCTCTGGGGAGGGGGTCCACGAGGGGCGGCCACACCGACCAGGTCATGTGTGAAGTGTTTAAGGTTTTAACAGCAGAAAAAAAGAACATACGAGAACATGCTGATATTTGTAGCTTGTATAGATGTAATAATGACTCTGATCACTCTGATATTGTTATTATTTATAATTGAAATAATTATTCCTATTAATGTTATTCTGATGATGATGATGATTATTATTAATGCTTGCTACAGATTTGACCAGTGGTTTACTCATTGTTTCTCATCACACTGCAACAGGAAATAAATTATTCTTTGACAAAAAAACGGGAAACCGAAGAGAGTGTTTTACTTTTTTTGCGCCCAGCGGAGGTGCAGAGGACGGTGACCGTTGCATACACTAAAAGCGGTAACTAGGCAACGCGATGATGGCCACTTTAACTCCATCCATGCCCCCCTCCCTCCCTCCCTCTCTCTCTGTCACCGTCTCTCTGGATTCTGTACAGCGGACATGTGATCCCTTGTTGTTGTTGCTGATGAATTGAAAAGAGGAGCGCTGTGTGATTATTGTCAGCACAAAAGCCTCAAAAAGCTGCTGACGCCTAGATTAGCCAGTACAAAGACACGGGGACACACACACACACACACAAAAAGACTTACTGTAGGTGCAGACTCACAACCGCAGACACACAAAGGCACTGGGACAAGGCCCGTCTGCCCTGGACGCCCTACCATCCTCCTCACTCCTCTTTTTTTATCTTTGTCACTCACATTACTCTCATTTCAAGTATTTTTCCCATCATCCTCTCGCAACTGTTACCAAACGACGCCAAACAGCATCAAAGCCTGTGGCAGGGAGAGCACACCTCCCATTCAGCGAGCTAATACAAGGAGAGCAGCGGCAAAGACCTCCAAGAGCAGGAACTAGGGCTGGGCCATAGTGTTGTGTCATCCGCGAATGATTCGTTCAAAAGAACCGAATCTTTTAAATGAATGTACTGAACCGAATCACTTCGTCAAGTGATTCGTTCGTTTCTCATTTCAGATGCAGCGTAGGGCCACAGAATTTCCGGGTGAGCAGCTGGCGAGCGAGGGACCGCCATCGCTGAATCACTTGGTGAACGAATCATGCAGTGAACTCCACTCTCTGGAATCATTTTTGTCTGAAGGATACACTCTTATGGCCGTTGTTTCCCGTTGTTTTAACAGGTTTAGTAGGACATATTATTTAGGAAATAGCACTTAACAAATTGACAATAAAACCTGTAGTTTGAGAAATGCGTGACCGATCCTGTCATTGCGGCTATTCTCGAGGGAACGGTGCATGTTCAGTGTGAATTCTTCACTCAGAGTACTGTGGGGTAAACTTTCAGTGACCAAATCACTCACTGAGCCCAACTTAGTACACAACCAGCATACCATTGGACAGTCCACTTAAAACCTCATGATTTATAAACAAGTTAATTTTTACAAACCTGTTTGTCAAAGCAACACAGCCAAAAACTCTCATCTCCCGGTCCCAGAAGCTATGAATTGAACTGAATCCTGAACCGTTCAGCTGTGTATCAGTTAAGGAGGTTGGAGTCGCAGGCTCCTCCCACCAAGCGCTGAATGATTCAGTGATTCGATGAACGAATCTTTTGAACAAATCTTTTTAGTGAACTGATTCTAGTGATTCAGTACATCTAAAAGAACTGAAGTGCCCATCACTACATCCTACTCCTTTGCGGACATGTTGGGTTCGCATTATTATTAGTAGTAGTATTTTTTATTATTTTTCCTTTTTTTGTCTCACTGTTTTTGTTTGTTTGTTTTCAGTTTACTTTCTTGTGTTGCACGCACATGATCGAAAAAAAAAATGAAAACAACAAATAAATAAAAAAGGGACATGAGACCATAGCCTACCGACACACACCCAAAAACAACTTTTATTTATTTGTTTTTTGACACCGAATGTACAGATATGGGCAAAAAGACGTTGGTTCTTGTCGTAAATTCCGGTATTAGTAAATTTTTGGTTTATCGCCCAGCCCTAGCAGGAATGCATTACAATATGACAAACGGAGAGCATCAGCCTTTGAAAACCGGCGTAAATGTAAATGAACAAACTTTCATTTGACAAGTTGACAGTCTGATTTGCGATCACGGGGCCATTTTAAGGTTTTTCTGCTGTGAGTAAAATCATGAAATGTTTCCACATCATGTCATGCCACCCTTTTTGTCAGTTACGTAAAAATGATTAAATGTGCTCAGTTATCAGATTTTAAGACTTTAAATTTTGGGAGGAAAAAAGAGCAGCAGTCTTAGTCGGTATGAGATTTTTGAGGATAGCCCGAGATGAGGTAACGGAGGTCATATCAGGTCTGTAATCCAGAGTTATTGGCTGCTGGTTTTGTAATCCTTCTGTTGAGAAATGAGATATCAGAGGACTTAAGTGCATCTTAAAGTGATTTAGGGAAATACCAGAGGGGGTTAAAATAGGAACATGGTGTATTTGGAGCGCAAAACAGCTAAAAATTAACTTTCAGAAGAGAAATAATGTCGATTTAAGGTGGAATTTGGAGTTTTTCCTCCTCTGAGGTGAATAAAAGTGACAGAAACACGGAGTGAAAGTGTTGAAATTCAGCTTTGATAACAACAAAACAAAGAAATACAGACGCAGAGAGATCACAGCTCACACTGCCAGAGCTTTTCATTAGAGCAGGAGGAGCTGAACAGGAGGTGGGGTCACTCTCTGAACTAAATCACACACACACACACACACACACACACACACACCGTCTGCCTGTGAAAGCACATCTGAGCAGCGCAACAATAAAACAGCTGTGTTTGTGTTGGCCTGCTGATTGTTTCATTCTCGATCAGCGCGTCAAACACACTCACGCAGACACAAACACGGCGGCCGTCCGCAGAGATGGCATGACAGTGATGCATCTTGGGTAATGGCCGCTATTATTATGGAGTAGGGGGAGAGTTTATTACGGAGGTAAATGTCTCCTCGACATTATTATAACAGCTCGTCTCGGTGTTAACTGCTGGTAAAGTGCTGAGAGGCCGAGAGTTTCCCTCACTTTAGTCCATTTTGGTAAATACAGGACGGTCTGACACCGAGAGGAAGCACAGGTCGGTGTCCACGGCAACAAAATCACACCTTTTGGACCCGCGTCTCCCTCCGCTTTATTAACATGTTGCACACCGGCCGCTGGCATGATTGAAGTGTTATTTTTATTGTGGTTTCACGCTGTTAAAAGTGAACCTCCGAGCTGGATTTGACTTTCCGTCAGGTCAGTCCGAGGTGAGACGGCACTCCGATGATCACTCGCACCATCTCTGCAACATCACTCAACTAAACGGCGGCTTCAATCGGACCGTCTCTGTCTGCCGAGCTCTCTGTCAGCTTGTTGAACAGACTTTAATCAGCCAGCGCTGCAGGTTTACTTGCATCAGTTCTTTAAGATGGCACCCAGGTGAACGGCGGTAATTGTTGTTCAGAGCAGCTGCCCGGACAGCTTGCCGAGTTTCTCCTCGCAGCACGCTCTGCAGCCCTCAGGTTCCCCTCCAGGTCAGGTACTGTACTGTACGCTCTCTCACAGTTATCAAAGACTTTCTTCTGGATTTTTGGGATTTCAGATATTAACCGAATGCTAATGCAAGAAGTGCCTCACATTAGCTTTAAAATAACATTAGAGGATCGAAAGCTGAAATGATACGATCACAAAGTAGGGCTGTAGTTAACCAAAGAAATTCTTGGTCGACTAATGCTGCGTTCCAGTTGGAAGTCGGGATTTCCAAGCTCCGAGTCGGAAACATATTTGGAACACCCCCCTGAAGTTAGATTTCCGACTCTGAAAATTGGACATGTGTATCCACAGAAAAGAGCAACAGTAAAAGCTCCCGTAATGTATTAGTTATCAGCACTTCTGTTTTGCACTTATCGTACCAACCAATAAGTGGACCAGTCGACTAGGAGTTTACAGCCCCGTCACAAAGCCTGGTGTTTCATGGATTATCAGCACAATATAAAAACCTCTCTGCAAACTTGAGTCACTTTTTGTTGCGATAAAGAGACAAAAGTTTGCGGTTTACCTCCAAACTCAAAGATCAGAACTCTGGATGTTACTCACAGCATGTGGAGTCATAGGTGAACCATTGGCTGATCTACACGCGTCTGGTTTTGCTTGAGGTTTCTCACTAAAGGCTGCTAAACTTCTCCGCTCTTGATGGAATGAGATGAGACTGCTTGACGTTTTAAACGATTGTGCCGATTATTTTAAGTTTTCTAGTAGGGTGACCATACGCCCTCATTTACCCGGACATGTCCTCTTTTTGGCAGGTTGTTCAGGCTGTCTGGGTTTGTCTGGCTTTGTTCCGTTAAGTTCATAAAATCCTTCAAATGTCTGCGGTTTTGTATGAGAGTTTCAAGTTTGGGCCACATGGACTAACTGAGTTAGAAGCGTGTAAAAGACACTCCATCTGACCCGAAAAACTATCAAAAATTAACTTTGTGCAACTCTGTGACTCCGCCCCCATGTGGTCGTGTCCTCTTTTGGGGAACTCAGAATATGTTCACCTTATTTTCTAGATGAGTTACTTTGGATTTAATCTATTTGACTGTCTTCTATCCAGTGTAACAGCAGCACGCCCTCAACTTAAAGAATCCATCCTCCCCTCCATCCTCCCATCTTCCTCAGCCCTCCGTCCTAACTGATACCCATTTCCTCCTCCCTCCATCCCTCCTTCCATCAGCGGTCTGTTCGCTAATCAAACACCATCTGTCCTTCCATCCCCAACCTGTCAGGAACAGCTGCCAGCCGCTCTCTTAACAACACTTTTAACAACCCTGCCGCATCTTCCACGGGCCGCCGCGCGCCGCCCAACGCCCACCGCCCGGGCTGACATCGCCTCGGAGGGCGGCCGCCTCCTTCTGCAAGACACATGTGGCGTTCGAAAAGCAGGCGTGCGAGGGGAGGGTTAGAAATGCGAAAGAAAAGACGGGGAGGAAAACTTTCTGCTGGCCTCTCTTTGAACCTCAGAAGCACCGTTATGAAAGTGAAGCAAAGTAAATAAAATCATTGCAGAGAAAGACGAATAACGAGCGAGCAGAAGGTATAAACGGAGAGATAAAACAAAGGAGAAATGGCGCTGGGTAAACGAGTGGAAGTCTAAATAGTAATCAAGGGAAGAATCAGCCGCCTGCTCAAAAAAAGGGTTTGGAGCTAATGGTGGGAAGTAAAAAGCTCCCAACACACACACACACACACACAGGAGGAGACAATTTCCAATCACACACACACACACAAACAGAAGAATACAATCATCTTAAACTCACGCACATTATAGTTTCCTCGCACATTTAATACAATCATCCCTCACAGACACGCAGAGCAAATATAATCACGCTCACACACTCTGAATCCAGCCGTCTCACACACACACACACAGACACACACACACACACACACACTCTGGCTGCACAAACCGCACTGCTGTTGTCGCGAACATGCCAAGACATTTTCAAGTGTTATATCCTGAGGAACTTCCCCAACCAATCATTGGCACATAGGCCAGATGTTCACTGGTGCTTCAATGCAATGTTCTGCTGGCACACACGCACACACACACACACACACACACACACACACACACACACACACACACACACTTACAGACACACACTGAGTGTATTATCCTGGCTGGCATCTTTGTCTCCCTTTACGCATATGAGCATTTGATATGAGTCCGAAAACGCCAAGACTGCACTTTTTCATCGCACAAAAAAATTGGGGAGAAAAAGGGGTGAGGAGGGGAGGAAGGGCTGAAGGAGGAGAAAGGAGGAAAGGAGAGAAGGAGTCAAGAGGAAGATAGAAAGAAGAGGACAGAAAGAGGGGACAAGAAGACGCACATCAGGGCATTCAGGTGCCTCGGGTAAATCACATGCTTGTTTCTGCAGAAGAATCTGGAGATTTCAGAGGATGATGTACTACATCACACGGATCTACGCAACTTAAAACCTCTTTAAAATCTTTTTATTTTATGTTACAAAAACTATTCAACCTACCTTTTGTCTTTTTAACTCGATGGTTTTAGACGCTGGATGCACAACTTTTGGAAGGTAGTCAATTCTTCACTATACTAGATTAATTTACGAATTTTAACCTTAGTTAAGTGTTTTTAAAAAGACGGATTTTACCGCTTAGTTTGATCACAATCCTTTCATAACATCAGAGCTACAGCTCGCATAATATTATATCATTATGAATGTACGACTTCTGAAAGGGAATCGATTCTTCAATATAGTAGATTAAATGACGGCTTTTTACCATAGTTAAGTGTTTTCAAAAATGGGTGATTTTAGCTCTTGTATCTTTACAAGGCTTAAGTCTCTTTTAACTTTTATAAAATGTCTTTTAAAACATCGCAGCTTTAGCTTGTATATTATGATATTATTATGTATGTACGTCTTCTGAAAGGGAGTCAATTCTTCAATATACTCAATTAAATGACGAATTTTTACTGTAGTCAAGTGTTTTTAAAATGAGGGGATTTAAGCTCTTTTATTTATCTACAATCCTTTAGTCTTTTTTAACTTTTATATAACCTCTTTTGTTACACCAGAGCTTGGACTTGCATATTAAAATGATTTTGATATTATTATAAATGTACGGCTTCTGAAAGAGGGTCAATTCTTCACTATACTAGCTTAAATGACGAATTTTAAGCGTAGTTAAGTAATTTTACAATAAGGGGATTTTAGCTCTTTTATTTTCACAATTCTTTAGTCTTTCTCAGCTTTTGTAAAACCTCTTTTATAACACCAGAGTTGGGCTTGTATATTATCATGATTCAGAATGCTGATGGCCTTGGCCTCTCCCTCTCTGCTCTGATTCCGTCCCTTGGCTTTTCAGGCATGCTTAAAACACCCGCCTCCTCCTGCTCCTCTCTCCTCCTGCAGACCTTAAACAGATCTTAAACTGTTTCTTTTATTTCTAATGCCTCCTTGTTCTTCTCAATGATTTCATTTCACAAATAATAGCCCTGCTAGGTGCTGAAAAAAAGAAAACGAGATGTGGATGTATTGAAAGGATTCTGTGGATCCTCTTCAAAGACTAAGAGGAATTAATCTATTAAAAATGAAGTTTCGAGGACACCTGCAGCCTTTGTTGCCGTCAGTGCCTTTCAATTATTGCTGCCTGATAAGCTTTTGCTCAGTGGGAGTGTAAAATCATTAAAACAATGTCATTTTGTCAAACACCAAAGTAGCAGGAGACCACTACAGACATGGTCGACTTTAGAGGTTAGAAAGTTTGATTTCACCAAAAGCTTTTAAACTTTTTAGTCATAACTGATGACTTTTTTTTTTTTTCTCCTATTGCGTGTTATCAGACATGCAGAGGGGCAGCGACCGGACGCCCTGCCATGGTAAAACTCGACCAGCCGCGAGAGGAGACGTCTGTTGTGGAGATCAATACAGACTCACACGGTGCAGATACAGGGAGGGGGGCTCACACACACACACACACACAAACACATCCATACATGCTTATAGATATACACACTCTTTCAGCGCTCTGCTCGCACACGTACACTTGAGGGAGCGTGTCAGACACGTGTCTCATGTCCAATAAGGGCATTAAGTCGAGTCAATAAGAGCCTTTCAAGAATACCAGGGGTTCTATCAATGACACACACACACAGACACACACACACACACAAGGACTAACTCCCCCTCTCATTTTGTCCTTTTAGGAGAAGAGCCCGGGGCTGTTCCATTTTAATCCACACCGCCCTCCTCTCCTGACACCCTCCTCCTTTTGTGGCTGATCTTTCTTACACTTCCCTTTCACCTCTCCCTCTTGATTTGTTCACCTTTAATGTCAAATCCGAAGGTACGACTTATACCCAAGGGTAATCCGAGAGATGAGCTCCGAAGCAAGGTCGGATTTTTCAAGAATTTGCGTATTTGTTTACAGCGAGAGAAAATCACGATCTCTCCACGATCCGTCCCTTTGCTTTTCAGGCACCGGCACACACCTGCCTCCTCCTCTCCTAGTAACAAACATTTCTAAGAAGCCAGTTTGAAACATGAAGACATTTTTTTTTTTTGCTTTTGCAGCATTAAATCAACTAAAAACAGGCGAGAATAGACGAGGAAGTGAGTCGACAAAAGAGTTGACACTCCTCTCAGCCGTTTGAAACGACTGTTGTGTTCGAACACGTAAACAGAAAGGCAGAAACGTGGCCTTGTGTTAAATAACTTACAACTTCATCTCCACTGACTTCACTGTCCTTGAGCGAGCCGCAAGATCCAGTTCCGAGTTTCTATTCTCCGATTGTTCTGAGACACAAAGAGGGCGAAGAAAGCGGCGATTAGAAAAGAGTAACGTGGCGGTGAGGATAATACAGTATTTTAAAAATGCAATCAAAAGCACGGCCTTGTCAGGGATGCCAGTCCTCTGATCAAAGGAGTCTTTAAAAGTTGGACGCGTTGAAGTTTACAAAGTGTAACGACTACACAATGACAAGGAAAGTGGACGTTTATGGGGGAGCGTGGTGGGAGAAAAGAGCCGTCTCAGGTCCAACTCTTGGTTGGTTTTTGGGATGAGTGGAAGTTTGAAGTTTGGGGCTACCTACCACTCCACAAAGACAAGAAGTCATTGCATTTGAACTTCATTTCTTGATTTTCTTTGATTTCGTCTGCCTCTTGTCTTTGGAAAACTTTAGGCCCAGTTGACCCGATCATTTCCAGTCTTTTTCAGGAGTGAATACTTGAAAAGAGCTTCAGAGGAACGTGTAAGGAATGAGCACATTGCTGGATAAGTAAGACGAATTTCTCAAACGATTTCATCCTTGTAACATTCAGTAAAAAAAAGAGACTGAAGAGCATTTCACCGTTAAGACTTAAGAAAATTATCTGTGTGATTGTGCGTCATGAACAAAGTCTTTAGTGTGTTTGTGTCCTTGGTTCGAGAGTTTCCCCCCACACATCACTTTGACAGAGAGCAACCTTTAAGTCTTCAGACGGCTCGTGTGTGAAATATGTGGGCGAAGACAAAAACTTGACATGTGGAGCAGGTGCGTGTGAGTTTAGATCTTCAGAGTCTCTTAAGCTCAGCGTCTGCGTTGTCCTTTTGTTAAGACCCCCGAGCGGGCTGAAGAATTTCATTTATCAAGACATGGATAGGGCTCCTACAAGGGCCCTCTTCAGACACATGCACTATAAATAACTAAGTGACACACTTGGCATTGTTAAAGAGGAACTCCAAGAGAGGGAGAGAGTCGGGTTACAGTCGGCAGGGAAAGACTCTTTTGGTTCCTGAAAATGCGTGGAAGTTGGAGAGAAAAGTGACGAAGAAATAATCGAGAAGAGAAGTGACGGCGGTGAGGAATCTCGCTCCTCCTGCGCTCGACTCTCCTCACAGTAAAGAACTGCAAATGAGCCGGCGCGGCTTCTTTGAACACGCAGCGGTCAAGGTTCACCGGCAGGTCAGCTGAGGGACCGCCTGAACCGAACATGGAAAATGTAACACACTCACACACACATGTGGGACAAAGACACTTGTGGACAGCTGTCAGTTGGCAGCTAAGCAGGTCTGAGGTGAAACAATGGGGCTGAAGGAGAAGAGTACGGGGGTTTTATTGGGGTTAAAACAGGGTTAAGCTCCTCGATTGGCTGAATCAGAACGAGACATGCCGGGAATCTTTCGTGTGTTTATGAAACGCAAACATCCGAGAGCAGCAATTCCTTTTTACAGTTACTGCGAAAACAACGAGACGCCGAGGAGGTCATTATCTCAGCAAGAGATGGCGAAGGTAAGAAGGGTGAAGAGGAAAGAAGAGAGAAGACTTACTTGTACAACCTAATTCCTTAAAAAAACAGCATGTTTGTCAAAATTTGGATTCAAGGGTTTGGAAATCAGGACAGCAGGTGGACAAGTTCACGAGTTTTCCACTTTGCCAGAGCATTCAGCGTCCACGATTTACAATAAATACATCAATGTCTGATTCATTGGGACGGTTTTTCCACTTGGCAATTTTTCTGGGTACAAGTTCATTAAATATGTACAAAGACAAATTTTTGGATGATACAGCGTCCATGAATTCCAAAAAGAGTGTTGGTTTATGATTTTCCCGAATTTACAAAGGTTTTATTCAACATTTCTTCAGAGGATGATTCGCTCATGACTTTGCTGTATGACGCGTGTTTTGATGGTTTCCTCTCTCGGGGAATAAACTGTGTTCAAAGCTCCGTTTTTGTTAGTGATTCCCACTACAGAGTCATGCTTGTTTAAGGCTGTGCCACCTGGGGGCCAAAAGATCACACCCACCCAATGTCAGTGATCGGCCTTTACTACCTCCGCCAAGGAGGTAGCGTTGGTTTGTTTCTTTGTCTGTTAGCAACTTTACGGAGAAAATTACAGACGGATTGACCTGAAATTTTTACCAAAGGTGCATCTCAGCCCCAGGAGGATCCCATTACATTTTGGTGGTGATCCGGACAAAATTCTGGATACTGTGATCCAGAACGCACAAAAATAAGGGTGTCGTTGGAATTTTCA